AGCGTGGTGCTTGCAGGCATATTGTGGCGTTGGCAGGCGAAGTGCCTGCGCTCGCAGGCACACCACGGCGATCGCGGGGTGTTGTGGCGCTGGCGGGGTCCTGCATGTTGTTGTGGCGGTTGCAGGCGGCTGTGGTATTGGCACGATCTGGCTCCCCTCGCTCAAGCAGTGGCGAAGCGTCCTGACCTGTCTATAGGCCCACCAGGGAATGTTCTAGGAACTGTTTGTGGTTTGGACGACATGCTCTTAGAAAGTTTCTGGCTGAGACCGTCTTGTTTTGAACAATCGGCTGCATGCTTTAAGAATTTGCTGTTGGTTCATAGGACATGCCGCTATTCCAAAGGAAATTCGTAGTAGGCCAATCTGAAAGCCTGGACGGTCGGTCCCTGCTCAACTCGCCGTCTGGTAGTCACAAGCGCGCTGGCCGCAGTGTTCGCAGGCGTGCCGCGGTGCCCGCAGGCCCTTTGTCGTGCCCACGGAGGACAAAGAGGACGGGGGCGAGGCGGGAAGGAAAAGGTTGGTTATTACAAGCTGGGATGGACAGTCTGGTGGTACGTGGTGTACTGAGGCCTTGGGTCCAACAAGGTGGGGAGGGGGACCGTGCCCCGAACTCATTTATTGAATTCGACACGTCCGCCCCCCCCGCCCTCCCAGCGCGATTTTCCAGATTTGGCCCTGTGAGGACTGGAGTTGTACAGAGGCTTCCTGTGGTGCGCGCAGGCACTGTGGTGCACATGCGCCAGAGATCACACAAATGATACTGAAACAGCATCTGTGCTTCGCACTAGCGTTGTGGTGTGCACAGGGCGCGCCGCCGCAGGATCGCAGCCCGGGTGGCGAAGCAGGGGCTGGAGGCCAGCTACGCCTACGGGGTCTGCTGCACGGGCTTGAGCGACGCTGAGCTCCAGCAGGCCAGAACCATGGCCGTGAAGGCCGTCGAGCTGCGGCCCGCGGGCAAGAGCGCCACCGCGGTCTTGGCCCTCGTCGGAGCCGACTACGACCCCGTCGTCAAAGCCACGCTCGACCCCATCAGCACGTTACACCGCGCCGTCTGGGAGCAGTGGCTGCCCAAGAAGGCGCTGGAGACGGACTTTGCGGCTGCAGTCCGCCATGTCGGCCAGTGGAGTCAGGCCCGCGGGCCCATCTCCGCCGCCGTCCTCTCCCTGCGGCGCGTCGGCTGGCAGTGCGAGCAGCTGGACAAGTGGACCTCCGACGCGGGCGACGTCCACTGCATCGGCGACACCAGCCCGTGGCTGACCAAGAAGCTTCTTCGGCGCAGCTGCGAGGATTGGCAGGCCCGCCAGCTGAGCGAGCACGACGCCCCGTGGCTGGCCGTCGGCATCAACTTCGGGCAGCTGCGATCGAGGACGGCCCTCCTCGAAGGCTGGCAGGAGCTGGCCCACCGCCACCAACGAGGAGCGCGGCTACCTCAGGTCGTGCATCGTGAACGGCCAGTGGACCAACGTCAGGAAGTTCGGCAACAACCCGAGGTATGCCTCCTCCGATTTCTGCGAGCTCTGCCCAGGGCAGCGGGGCGACCTCTGGCACAGGCATCTCGAGTGCCAGGCCCTCACTCGTCTACCTGATGGAGGCGACCTGCCGCGGGAGATGGCGCTCCTGCTGGCGCAGCGCGACAACCAGGTGATCAGGCTCCTCGTCGAGAGGCTGGTCTTCCCGATCCCTTGGCTGCAGTGGCGGCCGCCTGCAGGCGGCTTCCTGGACCATCTGCGCTGGTGCTGCGGCGAGCCAGGCGAGCCCTTCTGCGGCCAGCCTCTGTACTGCGACGGCGCCCTGCACGGCGCCGCACTTGCTGGTGGGCGGGGCGCCCAAGGCGTGGCGGCGGTGGTCGAGCTGCCGCCCGTCAGCGACAGCACCGACCCAGGTCCTGGCAGCAGGGCCAAGGCGCTTGGGTCGCCGCTCGTCGGCCCGTGGCAGAGCACCGATGGCTCGGAGCTGCTGTCGGTGCTCATCGTGCTGCGGCACTCCATCCCGCCCATCGTCCTGCACTGCGACGCCAGCTACGTGGTGGACGGCGTCAACCTTCGTGGGGCCGAGCGCAGCACCCTCGCGTCCTCCGCGTGGGGGCACCTGTGGCGGCTGGTGTGGGCGGCCCTCGACGACTTCGGCGGCCTCTCGGACCACGGCCTCACGGTGGTCAAGGTGCCTGGCCATGCGACCCATCGCCAAGTTCGGGAGGGCGCGATCACCCGCAAGCAGAGGCGCGGCAACTTCGAGGCGAACCACGTGGCACGTGGCATCGCCGCGGCGCTTGGGCCCCCTTCCGCGGCGAGGTTGAGGTGCAAGCAGGCTGCCGTCATGGTGGACGGTGTCGCGCGCTGGTTGGCCAAGGCCGGCACGCCAGCGGGCGCCGCCAGGGACGACGGCGCCCAGGGCTTCGTGCAGCGCGACCTCGGCAACCGCGTCGGCCTCTGCCTCACGAGCCACGTCTTCGCGACGCAGGCCGACGGCTCGTGGTACTGCCAGGCGTGCTTCAAGACGGCGCGCGCGGAGAGGTCCAAGCAGGAGCTCTTCAGGGCCCCCTGCAAGCCCAAGGCGGTGGCCTCAGGGGCCAAGCGGGCCCCCGCCTCCAGCGCCGCTGCAGGTGTCGCGTTGGCGGCCGCCGCCCTCACGGCTGCCGCTGCTGGAGGGCACGGAGGCGGTGGCAGCGCCGAGGGCGACGGCGGCGACACCTGCCGCGCCGCCGCCGCGAGTGGCCCCGCCCGCCGAGCGCCTCGCAGGCCTCGTGGGCCTGCCGCGGGCTCCAGTGAGAGGCCCGCCGCCGCCGAGAGCCAGCCTTCGAGTGCCGCTGACCTCCTCATGGCTGCATGGAGGGAGCGCAGGGCGAGCTCTTCTCGCGCTGGCGCCGTCGGAGGCAGCGGCGACAGGTCGCGGTCTCCTCCTGTGCGTGCTGAGCGCGGCGGAGCCCGTGCGCTCTTGGCACCCGCCGATGTGCCTGCCGAGGGCGCGGCTCCCGCTGTGCCTCCCGCTCCTGCCACTGCGCGCGACGAGCTCGGGCATGTGCTGCAGCGGTGCCGCGGCTACGTCGTATGCAATCGGTGCAATGCGTACGCGCGCGAGCGCCTTGGCTCCTTCAAGGCGCTCTCGAGCCTGTGCGCCCCAGACGAGGGTGATGCAGGTCGCATCCGCCGCCTCAGAGGCGATAGAATTCGCCGAGGTGTGCACCCGACCAGCGGTGCGCGCCTCCTTGACGCTGCAGCTGGAGAGGTGGCTGGCCTCTCGAGCTCGGTGGCCTCAACGCAGGCCGTCTAGCTTCGCCGTGGTGCCGCGCCCTCGGTCTTTCACCGAGCGGAGGTCGCGCCGCCCGAGGGGGCGAGAGGCGCCTCGCAGACGGGGGGGGGCTGACTCCTGGAGCCTCCCCGCTTGCCCGCCGCGCAGGCCAAACAAAAAACGCTGGTTGTACAAAGGCGCGGTGGTGCACACGGGCCACAGCAGCACTTTTGGTGTACAGAGGCATGCTGATGTACGCAATCCTTCCGGTGTGCACTTGCGTTGTGTGCGCATGCTTTGTGATGGTGCACACAGCCGCTGTGGTGCACAAATATTTGACTGCTGCAGCAGCTGCGTTGTACACAAGTACTGCGGTGTACGCAAGCATTGATGTGCACAGCGGCGGTGTGTATACATGGGAACTGTGGGCTCAACGCGCGGGGAGCCATACTCATGGCCAGAGAAAACAAGCATCACACATAGGTAGAATAGTGAACTTGTCACTTTCGCCCCCCCCCCCCCCCCCTCCCCCCCCCCCACACACACACGCACACACTGATTTTCTACACTTTCGGGCTTGCTGTTTTTTCTGGAGGAGTACACAGGCTTTGTGGTGTACACAGGCGGTGTGGTGTACTTGCGCTGCGGTGCATTCGTGTGATGCTGAAGCAGGAGACGTGATGCACACAGGCGTTGTGGGGTGGTTAGACACGCATGGTGGTGTACGCAGGCGCCGTGGTGCACACGAGTGCTGTGCACCACAGGCGCTCTGGCAATGTGGCGTGCACAGGCATCATGGTGCACACGGGCACTATGGTGTGCACGAACACTATTGTGTGCACAGATGCTGCGGTGCACACAGTTGCTGCGGTTGTGGCAGCAGTTGTGATGGACACATGCCACTGGCACAGTTGCGCTCACAGGCCCTGCCTGCCCCTTGGCGCTTCGTGTCCGCATAGGGGCGGATAACCCTTCCCCAGCGCGCCCAGGGGGGCGACGCACCGGGGGGGGGTAACGCACGCACCCCTGGCGCAACAGAGGGTGCGTCGCGTTATCTTCCACCCGCACTTCCCCCGCCTCGCGCGTGATCCTCCGGAATAAATGGGTTTTCCGTTGGCTCCTTTGCTCGACTTCGCTGTCGCGCCAGCCCCGAGCGCCAGGCGCGCGGGCCGTGTGTCCGCGCGGCCGCCCGTGGCCCGGACGCGCGGTCCACAACATCGTGTGTGTGTGTGTGCGCGTTCTCCCCCGGTGGCTCCCGCCCCTGCACTGCGCCCCGCCTCCGCCCGCCGCGGGCCCGCCGGCGGTGCTGGCCGCGCCACGTGCTCGGGGCGTGACCCGTCCCCCTGAGCGGCTCGCTCCCTCTGCCCCCTCGTTCGGCCGCACCCTCCGCCTCCTCCTCCCTCCTGCATGGTGGCACAATTCGCTTCAGCGGCATCCACGTTCCCGCTAGCGCAGACGTCCCCTGCCTCGCCGCCGACGCAAAAGTGTGTGTGTGTGTGCGTGCGTGCATTCATGCGTCTGTGTGTGTGTGTGTGTCTCTCTCTCTCTGTCTTTTTCTCCCTCTCTCTCTCTCTTTCTCCCTCTCGCTCTTTCCATATCCTTTCTTCCTGTGCCTCCCCATTCGTTTTCTCCGTTTCTTCCTCTCCCTCTTTCACTTCGTTCTCAGCCCCCGTCTGAGTTCCTTATCCTCGCTTCCCTCCCTCAGTCCTCGCCGTTGGCCCTTGCCCCGTGGCGTGGCCCGCTCGCTCCCAGCTGCCGCCCCCCACCTCAAGGAGATGGCGTGCCTCACCGAAAGCGACTCCACACCAGTGATGATGCAGAGGAGACGGGGCAGCTCCCCATTCTCCTCACACAATGCTCTGCGGGCCGATGATCCTTTCAATTGCATGTTTCCCCCCTCCATCAAATCCCGCCCACAAGTTTTTAGTCTTTGCTTGCGGGGCTTGCGCTGATCGAGTATGCTGCGGTATGCTTATTTTTTCAAGGAAATTGGGCTTGGCGTTAGCCCACGTCCAAATGAAATAGCTCTGCGACTGGATCGGTGTTTGTTGTTTGGGGTTGGTTGGTATCTGTCTTGTTCTGTTTTTTTTCCCGCCCCTCGGTTCCACAGACTCGAGAGAAGGTCGGCATCTGTACACAGTTGGGTTTTTGCCCGAGTTCGCTGAGCAATCAAGAGGGAAGCAGCCGAGCTGGCATCGTCTCGGCCGAGTAGGAAATCATCGTCGCCAGAACGTGTGTGTTGCACGTAGTTTCTCCCCCTCCTCACCGCCGCAGCGCGCCCTTATATCCAGGAGGCAAAGCGAGACAAGGCGGCCCAGCCGTGGCTTACCGCATCCCCTCTCCTGCCACAGTGATCCCGTTTTCTTTTGAATAGTTGTTTCCTTCTCTGGGACGCTCGATCATTAGCTGTACAACTATTGCGTATACGTGAAGCGGTCAGAATTAGTGAGAGTTCTGCGATGTGGCTTCAGCAGGACAGAACCATAAACTTGCCGCAATGGACGTCAGGAGTAACTTCGGCCACACACACACACACACATATATATATATATATATATATATATATATATATATATATCCCTGGGGGCGAGGCCGGGGGCCCCAGGACAGGTGCCTCCACCCCCCATGGCGGGACCGGGGCTCATTTTCCCTGTGTTTTTACATGGTTTCCGCGTTCTGGGCCTCGGAGGCCGCCGCCTCCGACCCCCCAATGGGAGGACGGGGCGGCCGGGGAGGTCAAAAATAGTCCAGGAGGGCCTCCAGAGGCTCCCAAGACGGCCCAAGCGGGCCCCGAATCGACGAAAGACCGCTCCAGGACGCCCAAGATAAGCCCAAGACGGCCCGCGAGGCCCCCCAAGGCACTCCACGACGCTTCAAGACGCCTCTCCAGAGCGCTTCAAGAGGCCGGAATCGTCGATTTTATGAAGGTTTTCGAACGATGTTGTCCTTCCAGCCTTTTCGGCTGTCCGACGTTCCAAGACGGCTCCATAGGCCCCCAAGAGCGCCCCAAGACGGCCCCAGAGTCGCCCAAGAGCCCAAGAGCCCCAAGACGGCCCCAAGATGCGCCCAAGAGGGGGACCACGACTCCAAAATTCGACCCTCCCGCTTGAAGAGTGCCCCAGGAGGCCCCAAGGAGCCCCCAAGAGGCCCCAGGAGGCCCCCAAGAGGCACCCAGGAGGCCCAAACGAGGCCTAAAGAGGCCACAAAACAGCCCCGAGGAGGCCCCACAACGGTCCCAAAACGGCTACCGAGAAGCTGCGAAACTGCCTTCACGACGTCCCCGACAGGCCAACCACGAGATCCAAACCAACACCCATGAGGCCTCTGACCCACCACCCAGGGCACGGTGGCGGGAGCAGTGACAGCACTTGTGCACAGCATGTTCTGGCGGGAGCCTTCCAGAACACGCTGCAGGAGGAGGAGGAGGAGGAAGATCAGGAGAGAGAGAGCTGAAGTGGGAGGAGGAGGAGGGGGACGAGGAGGAGGAAGAGGCCTCCCAGACAGCTCCAAGATAGCCGAAGAGGCTTCCAAGAGGGCCCTGGGCGGCCCACGAGGGCCCCAAGGCGGTGCCTGAGGCGCCCAAGACGGCCCGAGAGGGCCCCAAGACGGCCCCAAGAGAGGCCCAAGAAGGGAAACACGAACCGAGAATCCGAGCTTTCTACCCCGAGAGGTTCTCGGGAAGTCCCAAGAGGCCCCCAATCGGATCCAAGAGGCCCCCAAGAAGCTCCCAAGAGGGCCGACGAGGTTCCAAGAGATCTCCCAAGGTGGCCCCAAGAGGCACAACTCATTGTTTTCGATTGGGCTTTGACGGGTTTTAATTTTTTCTGCCTTTTGGCATCCCGATGCTCCAAGACGGCCCAAGAGGCTTCCAGTACCGCTCCCATATAGAGGAAGAGGCCTCCAAGAGGGCCCCAAGACGGCCCGCGAGGGCCCCAAGACGGTGCTTGAGGCGCCCAAGACGGCCCGAGAGGGCCCCAAGAGCCCCAAGAGAGGCCCAAGAAGGGGAACGCGACCCAAAAGCAGAGCGGTACCCCCACAAGGCCCACAGGAGGCTGCAAGAGGCCCCCAAGTGGTCCGATGAGGACCCCAAAAGCTTCCCGAGGGCCTAAAAGGCCCCTAGGAGACGTCTAAGAGGCTTGAAAACAGCCCAAGAGTGCCCTCGATGCGTCAAAACTGCTTCCAGTAGGCCCCCGGGAGGCTTCCGGATTGCCTCAATCTGGCCGCAGGTGGCCTCAAGTCGGGCCTCCACGCAGCCAAGACAGCCAATGACGGCTTCAGATTGCAGAACCGATGCCCCCAAGGGACTCTCAGACGCCCCCCCAAGAAGCACCCAAGAGGTGCCTCCAACAGCCAGTTGACGAAGCATGCGGAACACCCCCGAAGCTCCTCAGATGCCGTCGCGCACCTGTGCTTGATAGCGTTGTCCAAGATCGTCCAGCGCCCCCCCAGGGGCCCGAAAACAGCTGCACGCCCCTCCATGGGAGTACCGGGGCTCATTTTCGCTGTGTTTTTGCGGGGGTTCGGCGTCCCGGGCCTCGGAGGCCGCCGCGATGGTCCCGGACATTTTCCAGATCCTCGGCGCGGGCTCCAAGACCATTCCGCAGAGGGCTCCAACAGGCTCCAGGGCAGCCCAAGAGGGCTCCAAGACGGCTCCAGGAACGACTGCAGGGTCTCATTTTCTTGTGTTTTCTGCAAGACGGCTCCAGGAAGACTGCATGTCTTATGAGGATGGCTTCCGCCTCTTGCCCCGAGCATCCCAAACTGCCTGAACGGTTCCCACTCGCCATCCCAAAACCCAGCGCTTGCCCAAGCGCGTTCTGGACGGTCGTCGCCGGAACGCGCTGGAATGATCACGCGCTGCGGTTTCCCATGCCAACGTCCTCGGACGTGGGCGCCCTGCCACGAGCGCGTTCCGGGAAGATGCTCCCGGAACGCGCTGAAAAGATATGGCCACATCACGGGGAAGCTCCCGGCACCGCTGCCCCAGCCTTTCCGGGCAGCGTCCACAGCGCTCCAGGAGGGCCCAAGACGCCCCCCAGGAGCCCCCAGAATGCGAAAGGATGGCCCATGACGCTCCCGAGCAGCCCAAGTCAGCCTTCCGACGGCTCTCGAGGCTCCCAGGTACTTCCAAGAGACCCCAAGAAGTCTGATTGGTATCACGGTACGGCCCGAAGAGGCCAAAATCGTATATGTTCAATGGTCTTTTCAATGTTTTTGGATTCTCGCGTTTTCGAGCTTCCAACGGTCCAAGAGCGCCGACGAGCCTCCATGGGGGTACCGGGGCTCATTTTCCATATGATTTTTCAAGGGTTTCCTTGTCCTGGGCCTCGGAGGCCGCCGCCTCCGACCCCCCATGGGAGGACGGGGCGGCCAGGGAGGTCCAAAATAGTCCAGGAGGGCCTCCAGAGGCTCCCAAGACGGCCCAAGCGGGCCCAGAGTCGCCGAAAGACCGCTCCAGGACGCCCAAGATAGGCCCAAGACGGCCCGAGAGGCCCCCCAAGGCACTCCACGACGCTTCAAGACGCCTCTCCAGAGCGCTTCAAGAGGCCGAAATCGTCAATTTTACGGAACATTTCGAACGATGTTGTCCTTCCAGCCTCTCCGGCTGTCCGACGGACGATCCAAGACGGCTTCATAGGCCCCCAAGAGCGCCCCAAGACGGCCCAAGAGGGCCCTAAGACGGCCCCAGAGTCGCCCAATACAGCCCAACAGAGCCCCAAGACGGCCCCAAGATGCGCCCAAGAGGGGGACCACGATTCCAAAATTCGACCCTCCCGCTTGAAGAGTGCCCCAGGAGGCCCCAAGGAGGCCCCCAAGAGGCCCCAGGAGGCCCCCAAGAGGCACCTAGGAGGCCCAAACGAGGCCTAAAGAGGCCACAAAACAGCCCCGAGGAGGCCCCACAACGGTTTCAAAACGGCTACCGAGAAGCTGCGAAACTGCCTTCACGACGTCCCCGACAGGCCAACCACGAGATTCAAACCAACACCCATGAGGCCTCTGACCCACCACCCAGGGCACGGTGGCGGGAGCAGTGACAGCACTTGTGCACAGCATGTTCTGGCGGGAGCCTTCCGGAACACGCTGCAGCAGGAGGAGGAGGAAGATCAGGAGGAGAGAGAGCTGGAGTGGGAGGAGGAGGAGGGGGACGAGGAGGAGGAAGAGGCCTCCAAGACAGCTCCAAGATAGCCGAAGAGGCTTCCAAGAGGGCCCTGGGTGGCCCACGAGGGCCCCAAGGCGGTGCCTGAGGCGCCCAAGACGGCCCCAAGAGAGGGTCAAGAAGGGAAACACGAACCGAGAATCCGAGCTTTCTACCCCGAGAAGCTCTCGGGAAGTCCCAAGAGGCCCCCAATCGGATCCAAGAGGCCCCGAAGAAGCTCCCAAGAGGGCCGACGAGGTTCCAAGAGATCTCCCAAGGTGGCCCCAACAGGCACAACTCATTGTTTTTCGATTGGGCTTTGACGGGTTTTAATTGTTTCTGCTTTTTGGCATCCCGATGCTCCAAGACGGCCCAAGAGGCTTCCAGTACCGCTCCCACATAGAGGAGGAGGCCTCCAAGAGGGCCCCAAGACGGCCCGCGAGGGCCCCAAGACGGTGCTTGAGGCGCCCAAGACGGCCCGAGAGGGCCCCAAGAGCCCCAAGAGAGGCCCAAGAAGGGGAACGCGACCCAACAGCAGAGCGGTCACCCCAGAAGGCCCACAGGAGGCTGCAAGAGGCCCCCACGTGGTCCGACGAGGACCCCAAAAGCTTCCCGATGGCCTAAAAGAGGCCCCTAGGAGACGTCCAAGAGGCTTTAAAATAGCCCAAGAGTGCCCTCGATGCGTCAAAACTGCTTCCAGTAGGCCCCTGGAGGCTTCCGGATTGCCTCAATCTGGCCGCAGGCGGCCTCAAGTCGGGCCTCCACGCAGCCAAGACGGCCAATGACGGCTTCAGATTGAAGAACTGATGCCCCCAAGGGACCCTCAGACGCCCCCCCAAGAAGCACCCAAGAGGTGCCTCCAACAACCAGTTGACGAAGCATGCGGAACACCCCAGAAGCTCCTCAGATGCCGTCGCGCGACTGTGCTTGATAGCGTTGTCCAAGATCGTCCAGCGCCCCCCCGGCCTGGGCTAGAACCATCGCGCGCGCGAAGCGCGCGCGATGGTTCTAGTATACTTATACTTATATATATATACATATATGCAGCCCGCTAGGGCGTACAGGGAAATATCAAACTATGTCAAAACAGGCGGTGACAATTGAATGGGCGGCAGCATTGCCTCCCCTCCATCCGTTTCCTCTCCCCCTCCTTATTCGAATTCGCGCCGTCCCGCTTACTGATGGATACCTCGTCCTTGTTACACCAGACGCTCCGGTGCACAGGCCGGGCATTTTGTTTGAGACGTCATTGCATGCTCATGGTTCTGAGGCTTGCATACACCACTGGCCCTATGGCTACACGGATTGAGAGCGGGTCTTTCATGAATGTGGTTTTCTTTCTTGAGGTTGTTGCGCGGCTGGTGCTATGACAGTTCACATACGCGGCCTTCGCCATCGCTTTCGCGTTGCGCACATTCGCCATGACGTATACAATCTTCACATGGGTGCAGGGCCGTTTTTTTGTATATGGTTCTCGCATTCGCTCCGTTCAGATTCGTCAAACCGTTTCCAGCAGTTGGGCAAAGAGAGGACGAACTTGCTTCGAACCAGAGCTCTCGTATCGCTTAACGATCTGAAGTGACAGTATTAGCAACGGTCGAACGGGTGGAGGGCTACTATTTTTCCGCATGTGGCTCTTGTTTGAGGCTGTCTCGTGTGCCATGACCGTTTCTTATAGTTAGAGGCTTGGTGGAAAAACGGATCTCAACTACACGATGCAACTGGGAGCCCGTCAGCGTGTCCGTCTGTCGGCTTCGTCCCAGAGCTTGGTGGCCCTTCAGCAGCAGCTCGCCGATGGTTCCCCGCGGCGGCGTGCTCTCGACCCTGTGCGTGCTGCTCCAGGAACGTCGGTGGGCAGCTCCTTTTCAAAATGAGCTGATGGGCCTGTTTTCCGCCACCGCCACCAGAAGTTGGACGGGGGAATGTGGAGGACGACGAGGAGGCTGAGGACGGAGAGGAGGAGGAGGAGGTGGAGAGGGGGAGGGGGAAGAGGAGAACCGCCACCTCCACCTCCTCCTCCTCGTCGTCCTCCTCCTTCCCCCGTCCAACTTATGGTGGTGGTGGTGGTGGTGGAAAGCAGGCCCATCGTGAGTTTCCCACCCGCACGGCAGGCCCCGCGGGGGGATCGTCTGTCAACCGGGCGCTCATCGCAGCGAAGACCGGTGGCGCGCATGCCCTGGTGCTTGCACGAGGCCCAGGAGGGAGCGGGGGCCAGGGGCAGGGCGGGATCCTGTGGGTTCGATGCTCGTTTCGGGGACCTTCCTGGAGCCCACCTAACGGATCTGTTCGACCCCAGTTCGACTCAAGTTCGACTCAAGTTCGACTCAGGTTCGACTCAGGTTCGACTCAGGTTCGACTCAGGGTCGACCCACATCGACTGACGTTCGACGCAGCTTCGACGCACGAGTGGAGCGAGTGGCTCCAGGAAGGTCCCCAGAACGAGCATCCAATGTGGGCCAGGGCAGATGGGAGGGGGTGTGTAAACAACGACGAACCACGAGCGACGACGACGGACGAAAATGATGAGCTCCGAGCTATACCGAGAAGCAGGCGTGCAAGATGTCAAAGGAATCCGGGACCAGGAAGCCAGGTCGCGGTCACGACGGACGACGACGGACGACGACGAACGACTGCGACCACGAAAATAAAGGGCTCCGCGCTCTAGAACGCAGTTGTGCAGCAGCGTATGCGCCTTTACGGGCTTTCAGATGGGAATTGGGACAGGAGGGTGTGTTGCAGTATCGTGGACGTATCTTAAATTTACGCTGGCCCCTCGTCTTACTCCTCGTCTGTCTCATCTTGCGTCTCATGCGCCTCATTTCTTTTTCTTCATCATCCCTTTCTCCCTGCTCCTGTTGCTGCTGCTGCTGCTGCTGCTCCTCGCCCCTCATTGATAGTTCGAGTGGTCTCTGCTGCCGCCGCCGCTGCTGCTGTCCAATTTGTCTGGACACGCCTCCCATGGTGACCCTCTGCACACTGGGCGACGGCGGCAAGACACTACAACAACGACAATGCTAATCCGCACCGCAGGCCCCCACTTTAGCAACGCACCCAGGGACAACGCAAGACAGTTCGTACCCCTGTGATTTCAGTTTGCATGCTTGATGGTGAGATGGAGAGGTGTGAGTAGATGCATGTTTCAATGCTAATTGGCTCAATGCTCAATCCACACTTTTCTAACTTGCTACTCCCCCGGCTTCGCTCTGGACTAAACTTGTTCTTCCTTGTGGGCTGGTCTGAACGGAGCAGCGACTCGGCGATCCATCTGGCCTCTGATTGCGTGTTAAGTTATGACTGGGCGCAGTATTGTAAAACTCAGCTCGGCTTGCGTTAGCACGTTAGTGCGCGTGGCAGCGCGCATTGGGCCAGAGCGATTCGCGCCCAGTAGCATGACCGTGTACGAGTGCAAGACGGCTTGTTCACGTACTGATTTCTGCCAAGGCGCCTGGGGTTGAACGGTTCAAGTATGTTCGGACATTGTAATCGAGGATTCACTTGCTTCATCGTGCTGTGGTGTATCGCACTTCGGTTGTTAACGCATGCTGCGTGAGCTGCAGAGCCTGAGATACTTAGCCTCGGAAAATGGTTGAGTCAGCGATTGAGGATTGAGGGGCCGTGCTATGGATTGGGCTGGAGGATTGCGAGCGAAGTGATCCCGTCCAAGCTGGAGTATGGATGATTGGGCATAAGGGGTTCATATTGAGGGTTGAGGACCGATGGTGACGTAATATCAGGTGGCAGGGAAAGGTTAAGCACCCGTTCCCTTGGCGCGTCGTCTTCCCAGAGATAGAAATTCTAGACGCTTCGCATAACCCCACCAGCCCATCCAGAAACGATGCCCGGAGGAGTTGCCTACATACGTCAGGGAAGTGGGCAGCACACAGAGGAAGGGTCCCCCGAGTGGAGGCCTCTTGGAGAGTCTTGGGGGCCTCTCGGCGGTCCCGGGAGCCTCTTGGAGCGTCTTCGATGCCTCGGGGATGCTCCTGGGGCCTCTTGGGGGTCTCTTGGGAGCTTCTTGGAGGCCTCGTGGGCTGCTCTTGGGGCCTCCTGGGCGCCTCAGGGGCCCTCTTGAGGCGCTCCCGGGAGCCTTGGGAGCGCTCTTGGGGCCATCTTGGAGGAGATCGATCAAAACAAATGGGAGCTCCAATTACGCCCCCCCCTGGGGAGCCCCACACATCGTCTCTCGGGCCCCTCTTGGGGCGATCTTGAAGCGCTCTTGGGCGCTCTTGGAGCCGTCTTTGGGCTCTCTTAGGCCTCTCTTGGGGCCATCATGGGCCCTCTTGGAGCCATCTTGAGGCCTCGGAAGGCCATCGGAATCAAAAAGGCGAGAAGGCACAATTCAATGCTTTTCCTTAGGTTTGGATTCTGGCCTCTTGACGGCCTCCTGGGGAGGCTCCGTGGCCATTCGGAGCCGTCTTGGAGCGGTCTTGGTGCCTCTTGGAGCATCTTGGGAACCATCTGGAGCCATGTTGGGCTATCTTGGGCCATCTTGGAGGTCATCTTGGGCTCTCTGAGGCCCTTCTAGCGCCATCTTGGGCCACCTTGGACGCTCCAACGACCCGCGAACCCCCTCCAGGTCCAGGGGAGGGGACAGGGGACCCACCCGCCCGCAAGCCGTCTTGCTCACTCCCACCCGCCCTCCGAACACATAACCAACACCCGGATGTCAGCACATCGCGTAAGAACGCCGCAGGCGCCACGGGTTTGGAAGCCTCTTTGGCCCGGCTTTGAGCTTTCTTGGCCAATTTTGGGGCCATTGGGAGGTTTCGAAAGCCCATCGGAAACGACAAGGCGAAAAAGGCAGCAGCCACTGATGTGTCAAACCAGTCGGTCGACCACCTGCGCCCAGAAGGCAGGTGGGATCTGCTGGCGCCCCAGCCGTCCCTGTAAACTGCCAATACAACATGGTCGCGGGGCGGCTGGGCATGCTCCAAATGTGGAGGCAGAGTGCGGCTTGTACTGTTTTTTGTCAGGGATGGTGGGGGGGCCCTCATGGGGGTATCATGGTTCTGGGTTGGCTCCGGCCAGGCGGGGAAGGGGGTGTACGTTAATGGGGAAGAGTGATAAGCCCCTCCCCGAAGGGGAAAAAGGGGGCTGGACGAGAAAGCTCTCTAGACCACCTGCGCCCAGAGGGATGGTGGGATTTGCGCTGTCGACTCTTAGTGAACTACGGAGCTCGACCAGTCGAGTTCCCGAGCGATGGGTTGTCTCGTCTGTGCATGGGCCTGCAATCCGCTAGGAGGAGGGAGGAGAGAGGAGGGAGCACGAGAAGGAAGAGGAGGAGGAGGAGGAGGAGGAGGAGGAGGAGGAGCAGGGACAAGAGGGACAGGAGGCTTGATGGCCAGGATGGATGAGGGAGGATGAGCAGGGGAGGGGAATTGGAAGAGGAGGGAGGAAGAGGATGGTTGGGGGAGGCAGGAGGGTCAGATCAGGATCAGAGTCCCGAGAAAACCTCTTGTCTTGGTCAGTTGCATGTGAAAGCTAGGCTCGTAGTCGAAAACAAAAGGGTTCAGGCTCGGGGCGGGGCCGATTACAGGGCTATGCCGAAGGCTAGCGTCTCCTGCCCCGAAGGCCGCCTCGAGGACGCATTGCCATAACTGGGGCCCAGCAGGAGACCGAAGGAGAAGGCGGCTGCTAAGCGCCGGCCTGACCCAACACGTGAGCGCTGACCTTTCGCTAGTGCTGAGGAGATTCGCAGCAATCCTGATTTAAACTCAGCGTCGCTAGCCGTAGCATCTGACTGCTCTGGAACATGACTATATTTTTATACACTTGTGTATAGATGTTTGTATGTATGTATGTATATATATAGATGTTTGTATGTATGTGGGCGCCGATTGTATTTCCGTGATTGCTAGGTATTGTTTAACGCAAGCGGCATCGGGGGCCTGCCATCGACGGCCTTTCTGGTACTCAGGAGAGGAAGGGGGGCTGAGGAGATACGCAGGGGCTCGTAAGTCGTAGCCACAGGTCTGGGAGTCGGCAGTGGTCACTGAGCTCGGTCACTGTCAAGGTCGGGGCGAGAGGTCACCAACTCCGCGTCATGTGCTGCTGCACTGGAGTCCACATTTCTGCGAATGCCTCCAGCCACTTCTGCAACTCCCGTTCCGTTTGGGTGGGCGCCCCGCGGCCCTGCTTCAACTCCGCACTCGTCTGGAGCAGGGCGTCCAACCACCACCGACCGGGTCCCGAGTCGGGCGACCGGGCCTAAACACAGCCACCGCCGCTGACCAGGCCCTTCCTGGGCCCGGGGTCGGTGCATGCGACTCCCTGGCCCGGCCAGGGGGGCGAACACACCGCTCGTGGGCCCAGCGTGGGCCTGGCCAGCGGCGGTGGAAACGTGTAGATCTTCTTGCCCTACGGAGGAGGAGGAGGAGGAGAAGGAGGAGGAGGAGGAGGGAGGAGGATGGAGGAGGGAGGAGGAGGGAGGATGCAGGAGGATGGAGGAGGGAGGAGGAGGGCCTGCTGAGCCTCTCAGAGTCTGGTTTCTCGCCCTTGCTCCCACTGGGGCCCCGCCGGGCCTGGGCGGGAGGGCCGGTCGCGACTCCCGCCGCGGCGGCAAGCGGGCGGGCCCTTTGTTGGAGGGCCGACGGCGCAGGAGTCGCGCAGGAGGGAGAGGGGTCATCCTCCCCCACCCTCCCTCCTGATATCAAGTCGGGCCTGTCCCTCTACGGGAGGAATATTCAAAAATAGACGAAAAATAGTATGAGGATTTTTATTTTCATTTTTGTTTGGCTACATTGGGCCATTTTCTGAGTATTTGTTTACATTTCGGCCAACATCCGCCTGTAGGGGGACACGCCTGACCAAATCCTACGAATAGAGCGCAGCGTCTTGGCGGCACTGCGCTCTGTTCGTGCGTGCACCCCGGCTACTCGGCGGCGATGGAATGGGGGGAAGTGGGAAGGAGAAGGCTTTCTCAGAAGGCGGCGGGACTTCTCAGAAGCCCTCGCGCCTTCTGAGAAGTCGTCTGTGTCTTCGGGGAAGGCTTCGAAAACCTCTCGGCAGGGCGGGGGACCCCCGAGCCTTCTGATAAGACCCGCCCCCTCTCACTTCTCCCCCGGGCTGGTCGCCAAGCTGCGCTCGGCGTCTGCCTCCTCCTCTTCGTCTGCGTCGTGCTCCGGGCAAGGGCAGCCCGCGTAATCCTACGCCTTCGGAGGTCCGCGCGGATGTCTTGGAGTAGCGCTGGGCCCCTGGCGCCGGAAGCAGGTCCCACCAAAGAGCTCCGTGCGGACCGCCGAAAGCTGATGCTTATGTTGGTTTGTCTTGTTCTCCTCCTCCTCCTTGTCCTCCTCCCCCCCTTGGTCCTCCTCCTCCTCCTCCTCCTCCTTGTCCTCCTCCTCCTCCTCCTTGTCCTCCTCCTTCTCCTTCTCTGAAGGGGAGGGGTCCTGAGCCAAACGGCTCACGGATCCTGGACCCTGGGGCTTTCCGCGGGACCAACTTCTCGTCCCGTGCAGTTTTGCTTTGGCGAGGGTCCCCGGGACCATGGAGTGCCGGGGCCCCGAAAAACTTGGAAAACAGTCTAGAGCCTTCGTCCTCAGGGACCTGCTCCCTCCACGCTCAGGGGAAGCATGGACTGGGCAGAGGGGAGGGGGAGCACACAGGACGAGGCGAAGGATGTGGACAGGGGCATCTGCGGAGCGCGCCGCTCTGCCTGTTCTGGCCCGCCACGCTGCGGCGTGACACGCCAACCACGTTCTGGCCCCCAGGCGTCAACGTCCCGAGCTCTGCCGATCCTCGCGCCCCGCGGGGCGGAGCGACACGCTATCTGCTTGCCCACCACCCACCAGACCACCCCAGCCCAACCCCGAAGGCTTCGATTTGCCCTCCATTTCCAGTTGGGGCGGGGGGTCGGGGAACATTGAAAACACACATGTGGAACCTGTACCCCCCCCCCCAACCCGAAATTCGGGTCTTCGGGTTGGGTTGGGGTGGTCTGGCAGGTGGTCAGCTTCCAGGGGATCGCGTGTCGCCCGGGCCGCCACCGCGACACGCAAAGGATCCCGACCGTATGGGGGAGGGGAAGGGGGCAGGACTGTGCGAGCAGCAGGGTGGGAGGGCGTATACGACAGAGCTGGGCGCTGGCACCCAGGCATAGAGTACTTCGAGGACGAACTCAGCTGGTGCCACCTGGTGATGGATCCCATCACCGGGTCGAAGGAGAAGAAGGGCTCTCGGTGCCGCGACTGATCGTCCTTCTGTTGCACGCGGCAGTGGATCAAGCGGATGTTGCGACGTGAAGGAAGTCTTGCCCACAGCGTCCCGCCCGCAGGGTCCCGCTCCCTCAGGGTGGGAACTTGCGTGCCGTGGGCGGCGGGACATGGGCCTCGCCCGCAGGGTGCCGCCCGCAGGGTGCCACCCAGCGTGGTCCTGCCCGCCCGCAGGGGCTCCGCCCACCGTGGGGCCCAGCTCATGCAGTCTGGGCCTCGGTTTGGACAGCGCACACCCGTTGGATGCTTGGGGCTCCTGCGCCAGCATCGTGTGATGATACAGTCAAGTTTGATCAGCAGGTCGACCCTCCCAGATCACGGGCGCCCTCGTGCCTTCCTGCGTTGTGCGTCCCATGTCTTCTGCACCTTCGGGCAAGATGGCCCTCAAAAGGGTCTGGCGTCCTCTCGCGTGTCCTCTCCAATTGAACTCGACTGAACGTGATGTGATGGGGTCGTTCCGGATCTAGTGCTGCTCGACATGGTGCGGTCTGGAATGCCGGGACTCGCCTTGACTGCGTACATGTGGGGCCTTCCAGAAAGCGCCTCGCCTTTGGCTTGTCTCGCGATCTCGCCCTCGGGTCCGCCGACAGAAGCGGACTCTCCTCCCGTCCTCCCCGCGCCCTCTCTCCAGCGCGCCGCCCCGCCGCGTTCTCCGCGCCTGCGCCCCGTTGGCCGCGGAGAGCTGCCCATGCCGAGAGGGGGGGCGGCGCGGGCACATGAAGAATCCGCTACTCGATGATCCCCAGGGCGGCGCCCCGCCCGTTGCCGCTCCCATTGGTTACCCCTGCCTCAGGAAGTTCCATATCTGTTCATGGGATCCTCGGGCGGCAACATTGAAAGCAACTTTTCCTTTTTATTTTGATCGCATGTGGTTCTTCCTCCTGCTCCCTCCTGCTCCTCTTCGCCATTCCTGTTCCTCATCCACCTCATCGTTCTTCTCGTCTCCCTTGCGGAGGGGCGAAGCTGGTCCGAATCCGGTCCCAAGTCTGGTCCCACACGTGTTCCAACATTCGATCCAAATGAGAGCCAAATCGGATAGCGCCATTGGCCACGGAGGCCCACGTGGAACAGACACCAAAGGGAGGGGAACATGCCACCGTCGGGAGCCCGTCAGCGTGTTGCTCCTTCGTTGCTGTCCAAGGGCCTGGTGTTTCTTCAGCAGTAGCGCCGCTGATGGTTTTTGTTCCACGGCGGCGTCTCGTCAGTGCTATCTCTGGCCCCCCACCGTCGCCCGCCCCTCCTCCCGTCCTCCCCGCGCCCCTTCCTTGCGCGCCTGACCCCCCCCGTGGCCCCCCTCGCTTCGCGCCCCCCGCGGGCAGGCCTGGACCAGGGACGAAGCCGCTCCAGCGCCCTCCGCATGGCTCTGCAGGGCGCCGTGCAACGGCCGCGGCGCCCGATGCGCCCTCCGGACCCGCAGGCTCCCGGGGATTCCCGATGCACCCTCGCCCGGACCTGTCCTCGTCCTGCCCACGTCTTGCAACCAAGACGCGGAGAGAAGGACAGCTCGGGCGGCTTGGCTGCCGAAGCGGGGCGTCGCTCCCCAGCTGGGGCTCCCTGTGCTGTGGCAGCTGCCTGGCTGCCGCCCTCCTCCTCGTCTCGTGCACAACAGAGCACGTGATTTGCGATGGTGGGCAGCCGACGGGAGCACGGAATGGTGGTCACCACCCGGGTCCGCCTGCGCATCGCAATCTTGAGGCCACGGCCTCCACGCCATGCTGCAGTGGGCACAGGCGGGCTCCCCAGAGGAGCGCGCACGACTCAGTTCGCTTCGCTTCGCTTCGCTGCTCCCCACCGGCTGCGCCACGCGCCACGCGGCAGGTGCTTGGCGGGGCGGCGCCCGGAGACCGTGTCCCTCTCTCCCTCTCTCCCTCTCCTCGTTCGGCGCCCTGCCCCCCGTGGCCTCCCCGCCTGGCGATCCTCACGACACGTGCTGGCCCAGCTGGCCCAGCCCGCTCGCAGTGCCCCCAGCTGGCTGGCCCTCATGCAGGGCTGCCTGTGCTTGCGCTGCTCGCATGAGCCTGGGCCGCCCCACGCATCTCCAGGACCCTCCTGGTCCGAGTGTGCTGCTCTTTCTCTCGCTTCTCCCTCCCGCGGCCGCCTGTTCCAACTCTTCCACGTCTTGCCATGGGCTGCTCGACCGGCCTGCGCGTTCGCCGGGTCCGCAACAAAAGTGTCCGTTCAGTTCCGCCAGTATCACGCCGACTGTGCTGGCCCTCGCTACTGCGACCATGCGACTAAGAGATGCCCTGGGGGTCGCAGCGCCCCACGGGTCGTCGACATCGTCGTCGCCGCCGTCGAGGCAGCCAGGCCGTTGCCACTGATTCAGACGGTGCAATACTGATCGTTCAAACCTTCCCTGTCCGATTTGTTGTGTAATCGTTTGGTCTCATTGCACTGCCTGTGCCGTATCAAAGGGATTCGGTGGACGAGCGCGCGTAGACGCCGGCACACATTCTGAGGATCATCGGCCCGTGTCCGCGCACTCGGCAGGTGCCTGGTGAAGCAACGCCCCGAGACCGCGTCCCTCTTCTGCTTCACCGTCATGCTTCCCTGGAGCGACGAGCCGAAGCTGCTGGCCATGCAGCTGAAGGCGCGGAGTCTTAAATCAGGAAATGGCACCGATGCTGCTACCCTTGTCTCGTTTTCGCTTTTTGGGGCCTCATGGGAGGCCCTCGTCGCCACCACTGGATTCGTTTCGAAATTCTGGTCGGAACTCTCCTCGGGGAAGGTCCGTGGAGTGGCGGTATCGGTATCGTTAGGTCTCCTCAGAATCTTCGGGCCACGTGAAGTCATTTGGACAGGGAGTTTTCGGTCGTGTTCAACCTCCGTGGGCCTTGTCCGGGCCCTGGGGCCGTCCGAAGGGGCCAGGACATCTGGGGAGCCACGCTGTGAAAACACACTACGCTTGATGCCGGTCGGCCGGTCATCTCACCGATGCTGGCCAGGCCTATGTTGGGCCACGGATCGGTGCCTGCGCCCTCCTAGCTTGGCCAGGATTTTGTCTGCACGTGTACACCGATCCTGGGCGCAGGGTGGGCCTGGCCAGGATTGGTGATGTGGTAAGCTCCCTGTGCATTTGGCGCTTCCAAACTAGCGTGTCTTCATGAAGTGCAGAGAACTGGCGCTGCTCTCCACAAGCCCCATAGAGGTCGACATCAGTTCTGGGAAGTTGGCGTTGCCTCATGTGTTACTTCTTTCAAGGTAGGTCACATCTGGGCGACGTTAATGTTTAGATGTTTAGTTGTAGACGTGATATTATCTCATACTAGAATCTGGAATGACAGCCTTTAACTTTTGAGTGAGACCTTCAAAGCTTTTGGTCCACTTGAGGCGCGTTGCAGTTTTGAGGAAATTGCTGCAACACTGCACCAACCAACATTGAGACACATCGTATTGCAATTGTGTTGCAGTGGTGTTGCAGATTCGTTGTAGTTTTCTTGCGGTGCTGTTGCAGTTTTATCGGGACTTGGGAAGGCATCCCCCCCCCCGGCCTCCGACGCTCCACCCTCCCCTCCCTTCCATTTCCCCCGAACCGCCGCCTCGATCGTCGGCCCTCGATCGTCGATTCTCGGTCCTCGATTGCCGATCGTCGATCCTCGGTCCTCGATCATCGGTTGTCGGTCCTTGATTGATCGGTCCTCGTTCGTCGATTGACGATCCTCGGCGAATCACGAACGAGGAACGAGGACCGACGGTCGAGGAGTAAGAAGCGACGATCGAGGAAAGAGGATTGAGGACTGACAGCTGGGGACCGAGGATCGAGGATCGACAATGAGCACCGACGACCGAGGACCGGGGATCGACGATCGAATGCCCCCAAACAAAAAAGCTGTCTTTCCAAAGATCGATGGGGCAATGTTTCCTTGGGGGGCGGCTTCTTCCCAAGTTCGAGGGTCATTGAACAACCGCTGGCCTACTAAAGCCCGAAATCCTAAGCTGAACCCATTTCCGGCAATCCCAGCTGGCGAGAACCTCGCACAAAACCCATACCGCTGCGCATCCAACCGCAGGTGTGGACACGCGTAAGCTGCACATCATGTAACCGAGTGGCACTGGACGTCGCACCATTGGGGGCCGATGTGCTCATACAGTGTGCAGTCTAGCGCTCCGTGGAACACCACGGTGATGTACTCAGGGACGCGGACCAAACTCCATGTTGTAACACGTTCTTCAATCGAGCTTTAGCTTAGTTGCAGTTTTCAGCAGCAATGCTGCAGTTCGTTTGCCACGTTGTTGCAGTTTCGTTGGGGTATCGTGGTCATTTCGTTGCATATGCAATGCGCATGCTCAAAGCCGTTGTGTCCCGTTTGGCAACCGTATATGCAAATGTTCAGCGACATTGCATCACGACCGTAACGAAACTTCAGCAGCACTGCGACATACTGGTGATAGTCTCGTTGTACATTGCAACAAGGCGGCAAGGACGCTGCAATTCTAGTCATCAAGCGCGTTACACGTGGCATCGAACATGCCGCTGACATGTCGGCGGTCCTGTGCTGATGGCCATGATGTCGCTGCGCATTGTGCACAGCATTGTCCTCGACCGTCGCCATCAATCCTGGATCGTCGGTCCTCTGTCGATTGTCCTCGTTCGTCGATCGCAGATAACCTAAGATCGTCGCTCGACGACTGGCGAATGACGAACCGTCGAAAAGCATCTCGGAATAGACAAACGGTCCCGTGAAAGTGGTCCGGACCTCCAGGGAGCCATGTCATGAAATAGTCATTGCGTCGGAGGTCTGGGCTACGTCGACCACAAAAGGGGCCCCTGCAGATTAGTGTTCCATCTGTGGCTAGAGTTGCACGTGCGATGCCGCCTTCAAAGCCCGCGCGGCCAGGCAGTTGCCACCTCCCATCTGCGAGGTCTCCCCGTCCATGTCCCTTCTTTTCGCCCTTCCTTGCTGCCTGTCTATTTCGCGGCCCCTGCCCTGGGCAGGAGCGATGGGGCATCTTCGCGTGCGACCAGGCGATGGTGTACAGCAACCCCGTAGGGGATCCACGACGGGAAAAACGATGGGGATGGGCGGTGAAACAGGATGCGGACTATGATGATGATGAGGCATATGGTGATGAACGGGACTTGGCAGGCGTCCTCTAGTCGAGTCAGCATTATGGGTGTGCGTTGCACGGAGATGACGTGCGAAGCTTTGTGGGTGTCGAGGTTCCTCTTTCAGCCCCCCTCCATGTCCACAATGTCTGTGCCCAAGCCTCGCTTGTTTCTTTCATCAGAGCTTGCGATGCGCGCCGTGCTCGCCCTGCTGCTGGTGCTGGGGCAGCTGGACCAGCGGGCCCGCGAGGAGGCGGAGCGCGCGGAGCTGGGCGCGGCCCCGATGCGCCTGGAGGAGGTCGTGGACGGCCTCGCGCAGGCGGCGACGGAGCCGCCCCAGGCCGCCTGCCTGGAGCAGGCCACGGTGTGCCCGCCCTGCTCCGACGGCCAGGCCGAGGGCCTCGGCGTGGGCGGCGCCGCGGCGGGCCACCTGGTGCCGGCGCTCATCGGGCAGCTAGGCGCTGGGCGACGTCGCCATGGCGGGGGCGCGGAGGTTGCCCGCAGGCAGGTTCCTGGGGGCCGACGGGTTGGCGTGCTCGGCCGAGGAGTTCGCGCGTGAGCTCATGCTTGGCAGGTCTGTCGGGCTGCGGTTTGCCGGCGTCGGGCCGATCGGCTGCTGATCGGCCCCGTCGGCGCGAGCGGCAACAAGATGGCCACGAACTGGCGCAGCATGACGCCCGACTTCATGGCTTGTAAGGAGCAGTACAGCGAAGGCAACATGGACGTGGAACAGTTCGTGGTGTTGGGACACACCGCGAAGGTCCCTCGGCCTCTGCGGGGCGTGTTCTACAAGTTCCAGGAGGAGGACTACCCCAGCACGCAGACCATCAGGCGGGAGCTGGCGAGCTGCTTTCGCCACTAACGAGGAGCTGGGCTTCGATGCGCCGCCTGTCCCAAACTGCTTACCGGTGAGGGCCTGGTGGTGCCCAGCCGACGCTTGCCGCTGAATGTAGGCGGCGGGATGATGACAGCCGCGCGCTCTGGGTGGACTACGATGAGTTCGGTCGCCGCCATAAGAGCTCCAGGAAATTCACCGCAGGGGTGAGCCAGGAGCCATTGGACTGTCGTGGCATCGAGGGGCTTGGCTGCCTCTCCACCTGCTTCTCCACGCGGAGGGGCGCCGCGGCGCCCTGGAGAAGTGGCTGGTGGATTTCTTCAGGGAGAACATCTTGATGACAGATAGGGCGGCTCACGGGCTCCAAACCATCGTGAAGTCGCTCCATCTGTTCGCGGCGCATGATCAGGTGAAGTTGCCGTCTCTCGCGGGTGCCGAGCGGCTGGGCACGCGTCTGGCGGCCATCATCGATGCCTGCAGCGGGCAGTCGGCGCCGAACTGGAAGCTGGCGAACGTGCGCGAGGAAGAGGGGGGAATTTTCCACAGTTAAGCGGCGGTTGATCACGCTCTCTCACATATATCTAGACATATCCATATTTACACATATATATATATATATATGCACAAGTAAGCAGTCGAATGCGCTGCAAGCAGCTCTGTTGCTGGCCATGGGGCGACTTTGTACCCCACGGGGCGCGATGCGTTAACCTGCAGACCAACCGCAGAGGGGGAAGCGGAAGGGGGACGGGAGGGAGAGCATGGGGAGGAGAGGGGCGGAGGCAGGCATCAATTCATCAGTATTGCACCCAGTTTCAGGAGGGAACAAACACAGACACAATTAATCGTCGATTCCCCAGAAAATATGGGAACATATGGGGAATTGGGGGGAAGACAAAATTCCAGAAACTATAAGAAAGTATGGGGAATCTTTTTTTTGTGTGTATTAATTTGTGTGTCCCAGGGCCCCTTCAAAGTCGTGCAAGATGTGTGCTGATTCCTCTGGCCACCTAGAAGCTTCTCGAGTCGATCTTGGCTTCACCCAGACAGCTCCGAAGCTTGCGGGCGCACGTGCGTGGACCATTGCAGGCGCGGCCTGCCTCTGGTTGGTGCGCTACCCCACGTTCGAGGCAAGACGGTAGAACGGCTTCCAGTGAAAACAAACGTGGATCAAATCCAATGTTGCTGGCGCGAGTGACGTCAGGGGTATCAAGACGAGTACGTTCGGCACTGCCACTGCCATGTTGGCCAGCAGTACCTATGCATCGCCAGCGCCATCCATGTCCTGATTGTCCTGCGTTGGCATTTCCTGTGCCACATGCATCGCCCATCGCGCTGGGGTCCCTGGCGTTACCTCTTCCGTTGGCGTCGACGCAATCATCCAAGTCACCGGTGTCATTCTAGCATGTGCCTGATGCTTTGTGCGTCCTTCGTCTGTGCTTTTGTTCGTATCGCGCCATTGGCATTCAGTTGGTTGCGGCAAGTCCCGCCGCCGTGCCAGCGCATCGATCTACCATGAGCCGGTTGTTCACTCTCGCTCGGGCAGTCGTAGGCTGTCTTTGGGCATCCTGGGTTGTCAAGCTCTTCTGCAGGAAGGTTGTGGACCCATTTTGGAGCCGTGTGTGATGGGCATGTTTTCCACCACCACCACCACCACCAGTTGGAGGTGGAGGGTGTCCTCCTCCTCCTCCTCCTCCTCCTCCTCCTCTTCCACCTCCTCCTCCACCTCCTCCTCCACCTCCTCCTCCTCCTCGTCGTCCTCCTCCTCCTCGTCCTCCTCCTCCAACGTATGGTGGTGGTGGTGGTGGAAGACAGGCCCATCAGTGTGCAATGTCGCACGGGTCTTGAGGCCATCTCGGTACAAGGCTGCCGTGCTGGAGAGTCTCGGGGGGTCCCTGGGGCTGTCCCTGAGGCGTGCGGGCGCGTCGGCCAGGGAGCATCGAGCACCTTTTCACTGGTGAGCAATGCGTTTTCGGGAGGAGAAAAAACACACAGACACAATGAATCGTCGATTCCCTCGGAAATTCGGCAAGACATAGGAAGTGGGGGGGAAGACGAACACCCAGAAAATATGGGGAAATATGGGGAATCCTGTTATTTGTGTCTATTTATTTGTGTGTCCCAGGACCCCTTCACGTTTGGCTTCCTGAGGGGCCTCCTGGCGAGCCTCACGAAAGCCTCGGGACCCTATCGGGTTTGGATAGCTCTTGGGGCCCTGCAGGGGGCCGTTGCGTGTCTGTTGCGCTCTCCTGGTGCACCGGGGTAAGTCTTCGTCTGGCCGCTGTGAAGAGCGAGGCCCTGTTCGGATTGTGCCAGGTCGTTTTGTTTCCTTGACTTTTTCGCTGGTCTTGACCTGGGGTCGCTTGCGACGCAAGAGCGGAACATATGGGGGTACGGACGGTGCCATGCGTCCAAGATAAGTCGCTCCGGGGAGGTTGCACAAGCTCGACAAGACTGCGTATGGGGTAGCGGAGCTCTAACATGACCAATTCATGGCATGTTCAGCTGAGCTGATTCGATTGGCAGGCTATTCCCGCGTTCTGCTTGTCGTCCTGCCCGCGTCAGGCTTACAACCAAGACGCCGACATAAGGATCAGTGCGGGTTTGGAAGGGGTTCCTTGCTCCTTATGACGGGCCTGCTTTCCACCACCACCACCATAAGTTGAAGGGGGGAAGAAGGCGGAGGAGGAGGAGGAGGAGGAGGAAGAGGAGGACCCCCTCCCCCTCCAACTTATGGTGGTGGTGGTTCAAAGGAGGTCCACCACCCTAGGTCCTTCTATGCTTGCTCCTCTACCGCTCCTCGTGCACTCAGGCGCGTTGGGGGCCAACAGGGGGGATTCGTTCGTTCCTCGCTTTGCGTTCATCCTGCTACTACGATGACTGCATGCTTGTCGTCGTCATTGCTGTATTCATAACGCCAGAGTATCGTCCAGATAAGGCGAATAAGGAGGACGTGGAGGTGGGGGGGTAGCAGCAGCGCCGCCAGCAGCCGCAGTAGTACCCCATCCCCGACAGGAGATCGGCGGCATCGCGACCGGGCTAGTTGACACTGACCTTCATTGCGAGATGGGTGGGGAGCCCGGGCTCCTTGGGTTCAGAACGCTTGATTGCATCTCTGGTCCCAGTCAACCACGCGGAGGGGTGAGATTGGCTGCGCACGTCGGTGCCGCGCGGCCGCGCATCCTCTTGATACTCCGCCGTCCCTTTTTCAAAACGGATCTCTGCAGGAGTGTCACTGGGACGGGGCTAGGACGACGAGGAATCCGTTCGAAAGCGTTCCAGAACTCTCTCAGAGCGTCCTGGAAGGCTCTGGGAAGTCCGCGGCGCCCGAAACCTCCTCCAGAGCTGCCGGATCTCAGAGATTCTCGATCTGTCCTCACCCGATGTGGTCCTCGTCCTGGCTTCGTCTTACTCGTGCGCGGGTGTTCGCGCGCAGGCGCCTGTGCCCGAGGAAGGACAGCCGCCCCGACCCCGAGCAACTGGCGTCTGCTGCACAGTTCTTGGGGGGCTACTGCGCACGCCCTGTCCTGCTCGGGATCCTCCCTCGGGTGCGTGAGTGCACGGTCTGCACTCGTAGGGTTACCCATCGGTCGTTGAAAGCAGGTATTTTGGGATGCCCAGCTTCTAATATACTTTGGGCGCCTTCCTACTTGAAGGATCGAGTGGTTTTCCTTTTCCTTTATCTTGAGGGGGCGGGCGGAGACCCAGCCTACTTCCAACGCCTTCCTACTTCATGGTTCTACCCACTCCTTTCGACCGACGGGTACTTCTAATGAGGGTTCTCCCCCACCCCCTTCATATCGGTGCCAGGGGGTAATGTCATTCACGGCACGAGCGCTCATGTTCGCGACGCCCCAGGCTCATGCAGACTGTCCTCAACACCCCTGTCTTCGAGAAGGCGTGGGAACAGGTCATCCAGGACCAACTACACATCTGCATGCATGCTGCCTTGAAATCACTTGCGAGTTTTAGTCGACTGCCTTTCCTTTTTGCGATACTACTCGAATTGGTGAAAGTGGCGATCTGTGGATCTGGAAGTGTCGTCTTCTGGACTGCACGGCTTCCTGAGTGGTTGTCGGATGTACCATCTTCCGCAGACCCCGAGTTCACGAGGCCTTGCGGATGTGTTGGTTTACTGCGATTTCAAGCGCAGAGGCTACTCGTGCCTAAATGGAATAGATGTTGTATCCGTAGCGATGGGTTGGAGCCCTAAGCAGTGTTTCCCAGCCTATCCCGCAGATGTGCCCCGAGGTCTCCAGGGGGCCTCCTGGGTACTCAGGAGGCTTCCAAGGGCCTCCCTTCGCGTTCCTATTCCTCCCTCATCCTCCTCAGCGCGGCTGCTAGCGAGCATCGTTGATGAGTCTGTTTCCTTTGGTCTGTGGCACCTCCTTCTTTAAGATGCACAGGTGCACGTTTTCCGCGCGCTTCGGCCCCACCCTGCAGCACCCTTTCGCGCAGCTGTGCATTGTGTTTTCGGGGCGGCCCTCGGTAAAATAGAAAAGGGGCTCCAGGGCGCTGGCGGATGCGTTTTAAAACGAGCATGCCCTCGGAGGTAGCCAGTTGTTGTGGGATCCTCTGGTCTTGCAAATCCTTTGGATTCCAATTAGATATCAAGTGGATTCCAATTTGTTTCGGATTTCCCCATAGGGTCCCCCCAGAAGTCTCACCCACATTATTTTCCCATGGGGTTCGTCATTGGATTCCCCCACGAAGCTCCCCCACAGGATTACCCCATAAGAAATCCCCATATGACTCAGACGTATGATTCCCGCATAGGGCTCCCACATAGGATCCCCCATGTTCCCCATCGGATTTCCAATAGGATTCTCCATGAGGATTCCCTCCACAGGCTTCCCCGATATGTTTGCCCCTTCAGGTGTCCCCAATGACGTTCCCCCAATCGGTTTTCCCCATCAGATTTCCCATATGGCATTGCTTTAAATAGACGCACTAACAAGAGGTCTGGAGCTAGCCCCCCCTTTCGCCCAATGTCGAAACGCCGAAAAAGAGCAGTTCACGACTGATGCTCGGATATGTTTTGCAATTTTCTTCTCTTCCAATGTGTCCCCTTGGCGCCTTGACTCCTTTCTCCTTGAAACCAGACTGAGAGTGCAACTGCTCGTCCAGGGGCGTTTCGGCCGATGGCGCTCGATGGGCACTGTGGATTCCTCTGCCCGCCGAAAGCTGTCCACGAGACGAGACCACGCAGTGTTCACGTTTCCCTCATCAGGCGCTGTGTCCTCATATTGCTCCATCGCTTCGCTGACGCAATGTCCGAAAGAAAGCTTCGCTCCAGGCTCTAGTACTGATCGCATGTCTCGCTGGAGAGTTCGTTCAACTGGGCGCTTCACCACCTCCATCTGGAGCACGGCATGCAGCAGAAAACGGTGAGACGACAGCGGCGCATGTGTGTGGGAACTCACGGCTTTCACGTTGTGCAACCAGCTCTGCTCACACACAAAGAAGTCGATCTGCGAGTGGGTGTGTAAAGATACGTTCTCCCCAGCTGGGCGGCCCACGTTGTAGCACGTGGCAAGGTTACCCAACGGTAGCTCGTGGAAGGTGTTGGCCAGACACATGGCGAGCTAGGGGGAAGCCTCCACCAGCAGATGCCGGTTGGCGTCCGGCTTGCACTCCACGCCAGGGGATGCAAACACATGCGGTCCTACCGCATTCGATTCGCCAGCAAACTGCTCGTATAGCCTCGCGCTCATATCTCCCAAAATCAGTTTAGGTCCGTGTGCCGACGTCTTGTCCACCGAATACGAGAGCTCGTTGAAGAAACTTTGCCTCTTAATGAAATCGTGACCACTGTGTGGAGCGCATGCTGGAAAAAGAGTGGCTTTGCCTCCGGGAACCCGTGGTTTCAGCGATGCCAGTCTGGATGTCAGTTGGCGGAAAGCAATAATGGACCTCCGTGCTCGCGGCGCAACTATGAAGCCGACGCCTGCTCGATCCTCGTCTTCGTCTGCTCTGCTCTCGGCGCCCTCTGATAGCACAACGAAGTACCCCGTGTCTGTGACGAAAATGTCTGATAAATGCTGCCATGTCTCCTGAATGCATGATACGCAAATGCTCTCCCGTTCCTTGATACGTTCGAGCTCCACTTGCTTTGCAATGGTGTACCCCTCGATGTTCCACGAAGCAATCGTGAATTCAGAACTGGAGGGGCGCAAACGGCCGCCCCTGGCTGCAGCAAACGGCGTCTTGGCTAAGCTAAGCCACTCGACCAAGCGTGTACTGCAGTACTGTGAGAAGCTGGTTGAAACACCTCTTGTGTGAAACGTCTCTGCTATCGCCCCGCTGGCACCCCTATCTGCTAAGTATGCTAGCCGCCGCCTTTCCCTGGGCATTTTCCCTTGGCCCCCATCTTCCCCACGCCCTTGGAAGCGACAGTATCGAGCTTGCCAGTAAGCTTAGAAGTGAGATCGAGGAAATCGGGATAAGATGCATCTGTCAACCAAAACTTCCAACCACAACCGTAAGCAGTGTTGAGTTTGCCTCCGTCGATCGTCGCGTGGGCCACCATCTCCGCACCGAGCCAGACTTTGCCGTCATCGGGGTCCGCCAAGATCGCCGTCGCTTCGTACCCCCATTGCTTCAACAAGTACTTCAAGCCGAAAGCGAGTGAAGTGATGACCCGCTGGGGGAGGGGCTGGTCCGCTTTCGCCCAGACTCGGTTTCCCCCTTCCTGGAAAGATGCTTTGCGACATAGGCCCACGACAGTGTCTCGATCCCCCGCGCTAGGGAATTTAGCGAATGCCACGCCCCGGAAGTCCCCCTTCGTGTACACATCCCCCGGCTGTGGGCCGTACCCTTCCCACAGCTTTTTCCCCAGCCACTCCTTCACATCCTCCAACCCCCCGAGCGACTGCAACTTCTGTCTTGTCGATGTCTGGGTTCGGGTGGTGGTAGGCCGCGCTCTTGAGCATCGACACCTCCGTCTCCAATGCCTTGACCTGGTCCCAAGACCTCCTTGCTCATGCTCGGCTCTCTGGGTACCCTGATCGATTTGATGTTCGAGATTCGTGATGCGGATGCCAACGTCCTCCACCTTCCCCTCGAACACGCCCATCCTGGCCTCGATCGCCTCTCCCATGCCCGAGATCTTGCTCTCCAGATTCGCGATCGCCTGCCGCAACGGGTTCACCTCCTGTCTGAGCAACGTTGCGATCTCCTGCAGGCCTGGAGGTTGGGAGGCGTCCCCACTGCGAGCATTCGGGGGCGTGACGGGGACCCGCAGCGGCGTGTTGATGCTGACCTCCTGCGGCGGGCCGTCGTCCATCTCGTGCAGTGGACAGAACAGCCGTCGTCGAGGGTTGACTCTCACGTTCTCCTCCAACTGGAGTGCCCTGGATGCGAGTGTGATTCGCAGCACCCGCCATGGTATCACTGGAGAAGTATATAGGCAAGGATAGGTAAGTTGACAGAGAAAGATCTCTGGATAGATGCTTTAGAAAGATGCTTTGAGAAGCCGCACCGTGGTGCAAAAAGGTATTTTTTTTCGATGGGCCTACCATAGGGTTTGAGGCCCACTTTTCTTTTTCAGGGGCGTGTGATCCTCACCTCCTCACACGCACACCTCACCTCACCCCCCATCCTTCCCTGAAATTCCCATTATCCCCGCCTTCCTCTCACTCCCCCGCATCCCCACCCAAGATGGTGCCGTTCTCCCCTTCATGTGTTTGTCCAGTGCGAACGTTGTCGGTCCTTCCCAAAAAGGCCTCTCCCGCTGCAGCGTGAGCCTCACTGTTGGATCGCGGCTTCGTTCCCGTCGCTCAACGTGGCGGTATCGTCCCCGCGCGGGCCTTTTCTTTATGGATCCGGGTCCTTCCTCATCGTTGTCGCCCCCTCCTGTTTCCTCCTCCGCTTTTCCGTAGTCTTCCTGCTTTTCCCTTCCGCGCCAGTGCCCGCTGCTGCTGTTCATCCTCGTCCTCACCCTTCCTCCTCCTCCTCTTCCTCCTCCTCCTCCTCCTCCTCATCGTCCTCCTCCTCTTCCTCCTCCTTTTCCTCCTGATCATCCTCCTGCTCATCCGCAACCCTCCTCCTCCTCCTCCTCCTCCCTCCTCCTCCTCCTCCTCCTCCTCCTCCTCCTCCTCCTCCTCCTCCTCCCCCTCCCTTCTCCTTCTCCTCCTCCTCCTCTTTCTCCTCCTTCCCCTCCTCCCCCTCCTCCTATGTACGCAGTTCCTCCGATTGCGCATAACACGATGTGCTGTGTGTCTGAGCTCCGTAGCCATTTTGGCTCAAGTTCCCAACCCCCGCGGGGGGGGGTGGGAGCTTGCCGCGGCCGTGGGCTCGAGGGCCCACCAGCAGTTTTGGCGCGGGACCGGGCGCGCCGCGGCGCGGCGCATGCAGTGCCTGCCTGGGGGGTGCTGGGTGTGCCTCCCGCACCTCCCGCCGGGCAGCGCCTGGCTCCTGGCGGTTGGCGCGGCGCCGACCGTCCCGCCAGCGCCCGGCGTGTGGCACGGCTCCGGCGATGGCGCCGTGGTGGCGGCAGACGCCGTGGCAGAAGGCGACGGCGGCGCGGGCGCGCCAGGACCGGGCGGCGGCGCCGCGGGGCCGGCCTCCGCGCGCGGTCCGGCAGTCGCACCGGGGGGCGGCGGCGGAGCCGGCGGCGCCAGCGGAGCCAGCGCGGGAGGAGCAGGCGCGGCGGCCGGCTCCGGTGACCCCGCCGAGGCGCGGCTGCCAGCCCAAGAGCCGGCCGGCCCACCCTGGCAAGAGCCCAGGCGCCCCTTCCGGCCAGCGCCGCAGCCGGAGCGGCCGGGCTGGGCAGGGCTCGGGGGAGGCGAGGGGCGCTGGGCGGCACTCGCGGAGCCCCCCGGCGAGGCGCCAGAGCGCGCGCCTCCGCTCGACGCCGGAGCGGGAGCCGCGGCGGGCGCGCCGGCAGAGCGGGCGGCGGGGCGGCCGCAGCCGCAGCCGCAGCCGCAGCCGCCGGCGCCGCGGCCGCGGCCACAGCCGGCGCCGCTCCCGCGCGCAGCCGGGCGGGCCCGCTCCTGGCCGGCCGCGCGCCGCGCGCCTCTCCTGCTCCCCCAGGCCGGTGCACCGGCCTGGGCCGCCGCCGGAGCCGGCGAAGGGGCCCGCGGCGGGACTTGCGCCTCGCCCGCCGGGCGCCGGGCGCCCCCGCGCGCTGGCGCCCCCAGCGGCTGGCCCGGCCGCGGGCGCACCGCCAGCGCGGCCAGCGGATGAGGAGGAGGAGGTGGAGGAGGAGGAGGAGGAGGGGAGGAGGAGGAGGAGAAGGAGGAGGAGGAGGAGGAGGAGGAGGAGGAGCTGGGCACCAGCTACTACACCTAGGACGGCCCGGCTGGCGCGCCACCAGCAGCTGCGGGGGCAGCTGCTCCGCAGGCGAGTCGGCCGGCAGCGGCCGCCGCCGGCGCCGGCGGCGACGCCCGCGCCGCCGCGGCGCCCCCGGCGCCACCGCCGGCCCCCGCGAAGGGGCGACGGAGCCGGCCGACCCTGCCGGCGGCGCCACCGGCGGCACCGGCCCCCCCGGGGCAACGGGAGGCGCCGCCGGGCCCGCGGCCAGGCCCGGTGACGCCGGCGGCGGCGCCGGCCGCGACGGACTCGCCGGAGCCGGCCGCGCCAGGTGTGCCCAGCGCATTCCTGGTGGCCGCGGCTCTCCGGCAGGCGGGCTGGGCGGGGTTCTCGGCAACGGACCTGCCGGACGGGCAGGTGCTCCTGCGCTGGGGCCGCTGAGCCAGGGCCCCCTGCCACGCGAGGCGGGCCCGCCCGCGGACCGGCCGGGTTGCGACCTGGCGACGGTGGCGCTCGATGGGGGGGAGTTCCCAATCGAGCTGGACTACGAGGCTCTCGGCGGCGGGCCCGCCGCTCGGGGCCGGGAGCAGACGCCGCCGGCGCCCGCGACGCCCCAGAGCCCGCCCCCCTCCGGGCTGCGCTCGCCGGCCCGGGCTTGGGCCGACCAGGACGACGACGCAAGCGCGGCCTGCGGGGCAGGCCGCGAGGTGGCGACGCCGCCGCGCCAGCGGTGCGGCCCCTTGCTGGCGGGCTGCGGCGACGGCAAGCCGCCGGCCGGTGCCGAGGGCGCGAGGGCTGCTGCTGCGGCGGCGCGGCCGGAGGGCGGCAGCGCGGCCGGCGGCGACGGGGAGCCGGCCGCCGGAGACGAGGGCGCTGCTGCAGCGACAGCGCGGCCGGAGGACGGCTGCGCAGCCGGCGGCTATGGGGAGCCGGCCGCCGGCGGGGCCAGCGAGGGCGGCGCGGCGGCCGCTCTCTGGGAAGCCTCCGGCCTGGCCGGCTTGCCGGTGGAGGCCCAGGCGGACGGGCTGCGGGCGCGCGCCGCGGCTTGGCGGGCCTTCCCGGAGGCTCAGGCGGCGGTCGCGCAGCTGGAGGCGGCAGCGCGCGACCCGGCCGCCCTGGGCCCCGCGGCGCTGCTGGCGGGGGCCGCGGCCCTGGGCCCCTTCTAGGGAGGGCGCCGCTGGACCGGGACGAGCGCCCCGCAAAGCCGGGGCGCCAGGCGTCGGCCGCCGGCCGCGCCTCTTTTGCGCTGCTGCTGCTGCTTTTGCTTCTCCTCTTGCTCCCCCCCCCCTTGCTGCTCTCCTCTCTCCTCCTTAGCCACGGGGCGACCTTCTCGCGCGAGTAAAAAAAGTGTCTGAGCTCGATGTCTGCTATCACACGCGTCCGTGGATGGAGACACATCAGCGCAATTGGAAGAGACAGGTGGGAGGGATAGGATGTCAGACATGGCGCGAGCGCACCTAGCTTGTCCCCTCCTCTCGCTCCTCATCCCCCCCTCCCCTCTTCAATTCCCTCGGGATCTGCCTCCCCTCCTCCATCCCCGTTGTCGCCCTCGTTCCCCCCGGAACACCGTGAGAGGCTGCGCGCGCACCGTCCTCGCGCGCGCTTCGGCGCTTTTGGCAGCTTCCCCTGGCGCCGCCGCTGGAGAGGACGGGCATGCGTGGGCCTTCGGCTTCCGCTGCTGGCCCCCCCCTTCTGTTGGGATTCAACTCTTGGGAGGTAAAATTCAGCATCGGCGCTGGTATAACTGCCACCCCCAGGTAATAAAGGAGACCCCCCTCTTTCCCACTTGAGAGTTTCTTATCCCCGGCCAATGCAGATTTGGTCGGGGAAGAGGGGCGGCAAGGCCGAACTTTCTTATCGCGAGGAATGTTGCCAATCGAAGTTGCTATCTGCTTGCCTTGTCGAAACTGGCCCAACCTGGCAGAGTCCCGCTTGGTTCTGTGTAGTCCTGCTTCATGCGGTCTAGGCCGGTTGGGTCGTTCAGGTTTGGAAGCTCCGGCTTGGGCCCTATAGTCGGGCGTGGTAGTCTTTTAAAGTTCTTACGAAGACCTACCAGAAGTTGCCTCCAAACTTTTCGTTGTCCTTCCAAACCTTTGGTGGTCTGGCTTCAGGCAAAAGGTGGAGAGGATGCCGAGAAGGAGGCGGCGGCGGTGGAGCGGTGACAGGCCGAGAGTCTATCCGATTCGCCTTGCCACGTAGCGAAGAGCGAACTTATTGTATGAGACCTGCCGTGCGCGTCCAACTTGACGACGATTTAAAGATGCCCCCCCTTGGCAGGGAGCCCCGATTTCTTATCGCCCAACCACGGTTACATGCTGTAAGCGAACAGGAGAAGTTGGGCGGGTCACCAGCAAGCAGCGACGACCAGGGAGGGATACAAGAGCAGGACAAGGAGGGATCTGGAGGATGTGGAGGATGCAGGGTAGGAAAATTACGGAGGAGGGAAGGGAAGGGAGAAGGAACGGACGATTCGCGCGATCAGTGGACGAGATGCGCCTGGTCGGCCGACGCGTCACGAGCCGAGAGGTCGATGAGATACACGGGCATTGGGATGCAGCCAAAGCATTTCAAGCCTTCCAGGTGTACGTCGGAGGTACGTGGATCTCAACGAAGCGCAGACGTGGGTTGAGGGACGTGGATTAGCGACGGGTCCTGTTTCCGTTCAGAATGACCTGCGCTCCGTTGCCAGATCAAGCGGCTCTGGCCCCATGTTTTGGGGGTACTTTCCCCGATCCGTGCATCTGGCGCCAACGCGCCGGATCCACGGGCCCCCAAGTCCGTGGCAGCGTGCGCCCAAAAGGAACCGCCCCCCGCCAAGTCGATTGGCGACCTGCCTCGGTTCGGTTCTCGGGAGGATGCTGCTGCCGCAGTGCTTTCGGACCGGCGCCCGCCGGGTCTTTACCCGGGCCGTCTTCACTGAAGGGTGTTGTGCTCAAGGGGGTTTTGTCCACCCACGGGTAATCACACAGCAGACAAGTCGCCCACCAGCAGCCCTGCCAGGGGCGAGCGGGTTTCCGCGCCCACGACTGGGTTGTCAAGGCCGACCCAGATACCGTGTTCCTCCCTGAGGTGCGTGCCTGCACTTTCTTGCTGATGTCTGGGCTCACTAAAGATGTGTTCAGAATTCATGTGCGCAACGTTTCCCCGTCATCACGACCTGAAGCTTGGCGGGGTAGTGTACAAATAATTGCTTGCTTTGGACCAGATAGGGGTAGCAAAGCTGGACGCACGTTGCCACTCATGCTGCACACAATCATCAAGCAACGGCTCTCAGCGGATTCGGCAGATTGTCCAGACAGTCCCACAGGACATCCGTATTCAGCTGAAGTAGGCACGCTTGGAAGTTATGCTTGTCCGTTGTTGTTTGTCTGTGCTCAACACCCATGGCAATGTTCATCGGTCGGTTTGCTTGAGGGTTCGCTGTGTGTCGCATGTATGTTGCTTAGATCTTGCTCACACGATGTCCACATGACGGGTCCACGTTGCTTGCGTGTTGCTCGCGTTCTCGCGCTGCCACCCGAGCCGCAATGTGGCGTGTTGCAGCACGCCAGAAGTGTTGTTCGTAGGAGCCGTCTTCCATCTCAACGATGTTTCATTCTGCATGGGAGGATCTTCTCAGTCGTCGTTCTATTGTCTAGCTCTTCTCAGTACTTCGGGCTAGACCGCGACCTGCAGCAAGGCTACCAGTGGCCGACTGCTAAGCCGGGATTCCTGGCTTCCCCACCGTTCCCCTCTCGGTTTTTCCCCCCCCCCCCCCCCCCCTCCGCTGGCTGGAGGAATATCAATACAGGGAGTCAGAGGACTCGGACGCTAGGGTCGGATCGGACGAAAGGGGGGGGGATTGGGAAAGGGGGGGTTACGAAATCTGCTGCATGCAGCTGGTTTGGGCCCCACCGAGGGAGGGGCCCATTCCTCGATACATAGCCGCCTCTGGCGCCGGGAAAATCGGCTACGTGAGCTGATTCTCAATCCCCCCCTTTGCTATCCCCCCCTTTTCGCCCGGCCCGATAGGGCTTTGCAAAACCAGGCTTTTGCCAAGCCTAGCGGTGTTGTGCCAAGGGAGGGAGAACCACCCAGACCCCCACAGGTTGTCGCCCGCTCAGCAGCCCTGGGCCTTGACTGATCAGCCTTGCCCTGCTCGATTCCTTCCTAAGGCGCGTGTGGTAAAGGGTTCGCATCTCGGGGTGCTTGGTATGAGGGTGTTTTTTCGGCCCTCCTACTGGAGAGGGGGTTTGGGGAGGGAGTTCCCCACAGGGATGCTGCAGGGTGTCTCGCGCATGCCCCCCCCCACCCTTTCACAGATAAGCAGCACCCAGAGACTCGGCATGGGCAGTGGCCGCCATGCGATGGGCAGCCGCTGGGAAGCAGCATGGACGGCACGGTGTGACAAGAGTGCCAGGCGCCCCAGGTACCCAATCACGCAAGGCGAGCCAGATGCGTCACGCGCGCTGTGTATGGCAGGTGCGCGTCTTGTCGACGCGGCGGTGACCCTGCCGCAGGCGTTCCAGGTTGAACGGCGCCAGTGCTCTAGAATCGGCCAACGTGGATCGATCAGGCGATCGAAAAGCCGCCGATCGTTCGAGGCTGAACGATCCACGCGGTGTCCGAAACCAACGCTGGGGTCGTCACGACACGAACCTGCCGTACTCCAGGTGCGTTACGTTCGCTACGAGCGTGACGCACGCGAGACGCGCCAATTGTGCCAGCGTGCGCGGCAGCACGCCATGTCGCCCCCCCCCTCCTCCCCCCTCCTTGCGTCCTTGTCAAACAGCACTGCAGTGTAGCGGCGGCGTGGCCAGACGGTGTGGATCGTGTGCCCACCCGCAACCACTTTGCATTTGCTTTTGGCCCGGTTGGCTTGCCACCGCGCAATGGAACATGCATGTTGTCTCACCTTCCCTCCGCCATCCTCGACACCAAAACAATGCAGCATGATGGTAGGGTACCCGCGCATGGTCTACTGTTTGCCGCAACAGCCTCTCACAGTTGGCACATCAGACAAGAAGTCGGCCTGCCGGCAAGTGCCCCGCATATCGTATCCCCCGATGGCCCCGAGGACCCACAGACGCTCTGGCTCACCTTAGAACCTACGGATCCCCAAATGTCGACACACGATGTGCCCCTAGCTTTTTCTACAGTACGAAATCGTATGTTATGAGCTTCTGAGCTTGTTGTGTCGACTAGGGTGGTTCTGTGGGGGGTGGAGGGCGCATGGCCCCGGTGGGCGGCCGCTCGAGTGGGGAACAGTTGCTTACCCATACGGAGCAGTGGTAGACACCCTGTTAGGGGGCAGCGGGCCGAAGGAAAGGGAGATAGGAGCTCAGCGAGCAGTTCTGAGCCACAGACATCGCACAGGGCTGGTCGGACTCCCGCAGACAAATTGTGAGCTGTGCATGTTTGTACATACATATGTACACAAACATACATCTTAGAACCATCGCGCGCTTCGCTCGCGCTCAAGTTCTAGCTAGGCTGGATGGTCGAACTCTTGGGGATTTCTATTCCATGGCACTTTTTCTCCGGAGCTTCCAAGAACCACGAAGACGGCCCAAGTGGCTTCCAAGCTTACAGTCCATCCACGACAGCTTAAAACAGGCCCAAAAGGCACTTTGGGGGCCCTTCTATTCGCCGCGTCTGGACGTAGCCAGAGGATGAGGAAGGAAAAGGGGAGGTGAAGGGGCTCCCTGGGGGAGAAGGAGAGGGAGGATGAGGAGGAGTTGGAGAGGGTGGAGGAAGCCGCAGAGGAGGAGGAACCAGAGGAGGAGGAAGAGGAGGAGGAGGAGGAAGAAGTTGGTGTTTATTTTTCTTGCGAGTGTAGCGAAGCTGCCAGGCGAGCTTAAAAACAGAAATATTGGAATTTCCGTTTTTCTCAAGTGCACTCGGGGCCCCCCTCTCTCGGGGCTCTTTTGGGCCTCTTTGGGGCTTCTTGGAGCCCTCTTGAAACCTCCTGGGGGTCTCCTGCGGCGAAGATCTCGGGTTCTCGATTCACGTTCCCGATCCTGGGCCGCGGTTGGGGCCCTCTCGGGCCGTCTTGGACGTCACCTCGGCGTTTTTGAAGCCTATTGGGCCGTCTTAGGGCGCTTTTGAAGCCTTTTGGGTCGTCCCGGAGCGATCCTCGGAGCCTCTTGGGGCGTTTTGCAGCGTCGGGAAGCGGAACAGGCAGAAACGCCAAAACTGTTCAAAAACCTATGGACAATACTTGTTTCTTGGCCTCTTCGATTTCTGTTGGGAGACCTCTTGGAAGCCTCTTGGGTAACTTGGGGGCCTCTTGGGCCGTCTGGAGGCCGTCTTGGGCATCTTGGACCATCTAGGGGCCTTCGGCACATGCCGCCACCGTGCTTGGTTTGTGGGTTAGAGGCAGCTTGGAAGTTCGTTTGGAATTTCGTGGGGCCTCTTTGGGATTTCGGGGCGCCTCTAGGGGGCCTCTGGGGGGCCTCTTGGGCTCTATTGGGGGCCTCTTGGAGCCTCCTGGGGGCCTCTTTGGGCGGAAGGCTCGAATTGTGGGTTCGTGTTCCCCCTCTTGAGCCCTTCTTGGGGCCGTCGTGGGGCCCTGTTGAGCGAGCTTGGACGCCTCTTGGGCCGTCTTGGGGCACTCTTGGGCCGTCTTGGGGCTCCCTTACGCCGTCCTGGCGCCCTATTTGGGTGCCTCTTGGGCCGTCTCGAGCTGATTTCTGGGGCCTCGTGGGCTGTCTTGGACTGTCGGACGCACGAAAAAGGGAGAACACGAAAAACCTCCAAAAACCTTCGAAACAAAACGACTTTCTTCGCCTCCTGAGGGCCGAGGCCCCGCCGAGCCGCCCTCTTCAGGACCGGATCCCCGGATCCGATGGCAGCGCGCTCTCTGGCCGTCCTGAGGCCCTCTTGGGCTGTCTTCAAGCCATGTTGGACCAATATTGAAACGTTTTTTTCCTGTCTTGGGCTCTCTTGGAGAACTGTTGGGCCATCTTGGCGCCCTCTCGGACGTCTCTCCGGCCCTCTCGTCGCCTCCCTTCCCCTACTTTGACGCGTTCGGGCGCCCCGCGACGGGTTTAAAACGGCCGGGTACTGAATCAGTGCACTCTTGGGCCCCCTCACACACACATATTCATATGTGTATATATATAACTAATGTATACATACATGTGCATGTGTACACGCATGCGTAAATTTGTGATCATATAGATCTTTCACTATGACGCGTTACAGAAGTGGCCTCGCCATCGATGAAGCGAATGTGTTGCAATACCCTCCTTGACGGAAGGCGACGGAAGGCCAGCGGAAGCATAACGGCGGCTGCTCCGCCAGCGGAAGCCGGCGGAAGATATCCTGGAATTGAAAAGCGCGTCCTCAAGAAATGGCAAGGTTCCGGAACCCGTTATGTATTTATACCTATATGACTGTATGTGTACATCTATTATATATATATATAGGTATTTCGGAGTAGGCCCCCCCCCCGTAAGGGTGATTTTTAAGACTATGTGACGTAATGTGTCTTCGATGCATGCGTAGATCAGCGTTGTGTTTTTCATATACGTGTTGATGTAGTTGTATATGTAGATGCTGATGCAGACGTTAACGATGATGCTGGTGTAGCTGTTGTCCTCTCGGGTTCCCCAGTGTCTCTTGTCCTCTTGGTTTCCCCATTGTCTATTGTCTTCGTCGTTTCCCCATTGTCTCTTGTCCTCTTGGTTCCCCCATATTATCTTGTGGACTCTTGGTTCCCCTATTGTCTCTTGTCCTCTTGGTTCCCCTATTGTCTGGGGCCTGGGTGGGCGGGAGGGCCTCCCAGGAGTGCGATTGCCGAAACTTATTTGAAACAAACAATGGAAACGCGTCTTGGAGCCACGAAACCTGTGACACTACCAAAAAACAAAACAACAAAAACAACTTGTGACACTACCACAAAAAACAACAATCAAAGGTTTTCGGACCTCGCAGTCGTGACGGGCCCTCCTGGGGTCCGGAGCCAGGGTGGGCGGGGGCCGAACACCTTTGATTTCATTTGTTTTCCAATGACAGTCACAGGTTTCCTTATCTTAGGGCCACGAAACCTGTGACACTACCAAAAAACAAAAACAAATACACCCAAAACATGTCTGACACTACCAAAAAAAACAAAAATCAAAGGTTTTCGGCCCCCGCCCACCCGGGCTCCGGACCCCAGGAGGGCCCGCCACCAGTGCGAGGCCCGAAAACCTTTGATTTTTGGTTTTCTGGGTAGTGTCACAAGTTTTTTTGATTTTTTTTTGTGGGGGGGGTTTTGGGTAGTGTCACAGGTTTCGCGGCCCTAAGATAAGGAAACCTGTGACTGTCATTGGAAAACAAATAAAATCAAAGGTTCTCGGCCCCCGCCCACCCTGGCTCCGGACCCCAGGAGGGCCGCCACGACTGCGAGGTCCGAAAACTTTAGATTTTTTTTTTTTTTTGGGTAGTGTCACATTTTTGTTTTTTTGGTAGTGTCACAAATTTCGTGGCCCTGAGACAAGGAAATCTGTGACTGTCATTGGAAAACAAATAAAACAAAATTGGAAACAAATAATCTTTGTGACTCTACCAAAAAACCAAGAATCCTTGCGCGACGGGAAGGTCCTCCTCCTCCTCTTTCTTCTCTCTCTCTCTGTCTTTCTGAAGTGGGAGCAGGGAGTGAAAGGAGGCATGGAGGAGGAGGGAGGCAGGGAGGAGGAGGGAGGAGGGAGGAGGAGGGAGATTGCAATTGAATGTGATTGCAATGCGATGCATTGCGATCCCAATGCAATGCGACTGCAATGGAACTCCATGCGATTGAAATGCAATGCGATTGCAATGCTGCTTTCCCCATCCTCCCTCCAACCATCCTCCTTCCCCCCTCCCTCCGCTCCATCCTTCCTCCCCATCCTCCCTCCTTCCCTCCCTCCTACCTCCCTCCCTCCTCCTTCCCTCCCACCTCCCATCGAAATTCATTGCAATCGCATTGCGTTGTAATCGCATTGCATTGGAATCGCATTGCATTGCATACAATCGCATTGCATTGGAATCGCATTGCCCGCCCACGGGTTGGGCGCTTGTCGCGACGCGTGTCCAACCCATGGGCAGATAGGATATGGGCGATCAGGGTGTTCCGAGGTGTTGATTCCAACCCATGGGCGGGCCGAGAAGAGGTGATCGTTTCGAGCGCTTTCCGCCCCTGGGGCGCCGCCCGCGGGTTGGGCGCTTGTCGCGACGCGTGTCCAACCCATGGGCGGATAGAGCAAAGGATGACCAGCTTTCTCTCTGAGGTGTTGAGTCCAACCCATGGGCGGGCTGAGAAGAGGTGATCGTTTCGAGCGCGTTCCATTCCCGGGGCGCCGCCCGCGGGTTGGGCGCCTGGCGCGACGCGTGTCCAACCCATGAGCGGATAGGAAATGGAGGGTCAGCGTTCTGTCTGAGGTATTGAGTCCAACCCATGGGCGGGCCGATAAGAGGTGATCCTTGCGAGCGCGCTCCACTCTTGGGGCGCCGCCCACGGGTTGGGCGCTTCGCGCGACTCGTGTCCAATCCATTGGCGGATAAACCATGGATGGTCCGCGTTCTCTCTGAGGTGTTGAGTCCAACCCATGGGCGGGCCGATAAGAGGTGATCCTTTCGAGCGCGTTCCAATCCTGGGCCGCCGCCCGCGGCTTGGGCGCTCGGCGCGACACGCGTCCAAACCGCGGGCGGGTAGACAATGTCATATCAGCGCTACATCCAGACCTGCCAAAAAACATTCAGTCATTCATCAATTCATTCACTCACTCATTCATTCATTAATTCATTCATGCATTCAATCATTTGATCATTCATCCATCCATCCATTCATTCATTGACCGATCCATCCATTCTGTCATTCAATGGCCTCAGACTCCATTCCCTCATTTGCTCAATCTCTGACCGCCGCGGCTCGCGCCACATGTGGATGGAGAGAGAGAGAGAGAGAGAGCGAGTGAGGTTCCCCCCCCTCCCCCCGCTCTTCCACTTCCTCGAGATGGCTGGCCCTCGGCCTGCGACATCACTCATTATCCCTCCTCATTGCCATCCCCGCAGTAAGAAGCAACAACAATGATGCAATAGCAATGGGTACTACAGGAACAACAACAGAACGCCCCACAACCTATGATGATGATGATGATGATGATGATGATGATGATGATGATGATGATGATGCTGTAGATGATGGTATAGATGGTGGCGTCGATGCTGGAGCATACGTTGACGAACGTGTTGATGTCCGACGTATGGGGGTTCTTATTGAACTCGGCGTGAGAGATAGAGAAAGAGAGAGAGAGAGAGAGAAAAAGAGAAAGAGACAGATAGAGGGACAAATAGGGATATATATGTATATATATATGTAGAGAGAGAGAGAGAGAGAGAGAGAACGAACGAACGAACGAACACCCAGTAACGTGATAGGAACAAGAAAAGGGGCAAACAATAACAACAAAAGGGAACAACAACGAACAAAGCAGCCGCGGCGCGAGAAAGCAACGCGCGTCACATAGTCTTAAAAGTCACCCCCACCCCCCCACCCCGGCCTACTGGTGCCCCTGGTCGCCATGGGGGCCCGGCTGCTGCTTCTGGTCGCCATGGGGGGCCCCCCGGGGCCATTTTTTGGCACCCCTCCGGAGGATCGTGGCCCCCTCGCCGACAATTCCAGCCCTCAGTCTCCAGAAGCCTCCGAAGAGGCCACAAGAGGCTCCAAGTGGTCCCCTGATGGCCCCAAGAGAGCCCCAAGAGGGCCCCTGAGGGCCCCGAGAGGGCCTTCAAGAGGCAAACATCGGCACATGTCCTTCGTAAAACGTACATTTTCGGCATGTTCGCTGGCTTCGTCTTCAGTGCCCCAGACGCCCCCGCGGAGCCCCAAGACAGCCCAAGAGAGACCCAAGAGGGCCCCAGACGGCCCAAAAGGGTCGGCCTGTGGGGCTCACCGAACCCCCCGAGACGGCCCAAGAGGCCCCAAAGCCGGCCCAGGAGTCTCCCAAGACGGCCTCAGGGAGGCCCAAGGGGGCCTCGATCGAAATCATGTTCCCGGAAGCCTCTCTGGGAACATGATTTCTGGGTTCCGAGGACGCCCAAGATGCCCACACGACAGCCTCAGCGAGGCCCCAGAGGGCACCAAGAGAGCCTCAAGAGGGCCCCTGAGGGCCCCAAGAGGGCCTTCAAGAGGCAAACATCGTCACATGTCCTTCGTAAAACGTACATTTTCAGCATACTTGCTGGCTTCGTCTTCACAGTGCCCCAGACGCCCCCGAGGAGCTCCAAGACAGCCCAAGAGAGACCCAAGAGGGCCCCAGACGGCCCAAAAGGGTCGGCCTGTGGGGCTCACCGAACCCCCCGAGACGGCCCAAGAGGCCCCAAAGCCGGCCCAGGAGGCCCCCAAGACGGCCTCAGGGAGGCCCAAGAGGGCTCCGTTCGGAATCATGTTCCCGGAAGCCTCTCTGGGAACATGGTTTTCGGGCTCCCAGCGCTCCCTACTGGGCCCCAGGACAGCTTCAGCGAGGCCCCAGAGGGCCCGAGATGGCTTGAAGATGGCCGAAGAGGGCCCCAAGAGGGCCTTCAAGAGGCAAAAATCAGCCCATATCCTTTGTAAAATGTACATTTTCAGCATACTCGCTGGCTTCGTCTTCACAGTGCCCCAGACGCCCCCGCGGAGCCCCAAGACAGCCCAAGAGAGACCTGAGAGGGCCCCAGACGGCCCAAAAGGGTCGGCCTGTGGGGCTCACCGAACCCCCCGAGACGGCCCAAGAGGCCCCAAAGCTGGCCCAGGAGGCCCCCAAGACGGCCTCAGGGAGGCCCAAGAGGGCCCCGTTCGAAATCATGTTCCCGGAAGCTTCTCCGGGAACATGACTTCTGGGTTCCGAGGACGCCCTAGAGGGCCCCAGGACAGCTTCAGCGAGGCCCAAGAGGGCCCGCGATGGCTTCAAGATGGCCGAAGAGGGCCCCAAGAGGGCCTTCAAGAGGCAAAAATCAGCCCGTCCCCGTAGTAAAACGTACGGACTCGGCGCGAGACAACTGGCGACCGCAGCTACCGTCCCTTCGTGCTGGGCGCATGCGAACCTGGCGTTCAGTTTGGACAGAACGTGTCGGGTCTGTTGCCGATCGGGGCTGCGCCAGGTTAGGCCACCCCCAAGGTCAGGTTCGGGAATGGGTCGTAGCAACACGGCGACGACGACGACGACGACGACGACGACGACGACGACGACGACGACGACGACGACGACGACGACGACGACGACGGCACGCCCCAACAGGCTCCCCAAGACGCCCCAAAGCCATGCTCCCAGAAGGCCTTCTGGGAACCCTGTTCATACGGCCTCCGCCCCCCCCCCCCACACAACCATTTTCCTCGAAGGCTTTTCGGAATGCAGATTGGTATGCGTGGACTGTGGTCCACTACTTCAGTGGAGCAGTGAATTCGTCAAGGCCTGGGGCCTGCTTGAACCTGAGCGCGCGCGAAGCGCGCGCGATGGATCTAGTGTGTATATATATACATATATATATATATGTTTACACATGCATGTACACGTCTGTCGGCATGTGTGTATGTCAATCATGTGTGTATGTAAGTTTGTCTGCACACACGTATGTAGAAATGTGCATGTATGCACGCATATGTTCACAGGCACAGCTGGTTGCGCACGCATTTATGTTGTGCACTTCGAATGCTCTCACTCTTGGTCAATGTCTCCCGAGCATGGGACCCGTAGAGGACCACTTGGTCCAGGACGGGATGTTCTTGAAGAACTGTAAGCTCGGCTTGCACGGTCCGATCGAGGCCAGGCAGCGCTCTCGTCGCATTTGCTCCTGTGTCCGCGGTTCCACATGTGACCTCCGGTGGAGTCGTGGCCAGAGGAGGAGGAGAAGGAGGAGGAGGAGGAGGAGGAGCAGGAGGTGGAGGAGGGGGAGGAGGAGGAGGAGGAGGAGGGGGAGGAGGAGCAGGAGACGAGGAGGCGCAGAGGGGCCGAGAGTGGGGAGAAGCAGGACGATGAGCGCAGCCAGAGCGTACAGTGCGAGAGAGCTGAGCAGAGATGGGGAGCAAGGGCCCAGCCTCTTCGCTTCACCCGGGAGGAAGGGATGATGACGGTTTCGCAGGGCAGCATGCCGACTCCCCAGTCGCATCCCAATCTTTGGTATCGCGTCGTTGGCAGAGCGGAAGGGGAACAGTTCGTGCAAGGGCAAGCACGCGCCAGCTCAGTGAAGGCCGCACCCCCGCGACGCCCGCCCGCCGCACCCGCGCCCCGCGCCCCCCCAGGTGATATCGCGCCGCGCCGTGGAGATCTACGCCACCGGGAACGCGCAGTGCGAGCGCCCTGGGCAGGAGCCGGCTGCCCCTTCCCGGGCGGCCAGAGGGGGGAGGGTGATGATTGCGAGGGCTCGAGGGTACGAGGTGGTGTGACGTATTCGTCGGTTCCCGGCCGTTTGCAAGCCTCGGGGTGCTCTCCGGCAGCTGCGCCTTTCCGCGGGCTTTCAGGGGGTTCTCGGCTCGTCCTGAACGGCCACCAGAGATGGCCCGAAACCCGAAAGGCGTCCGTCGAAGAGGGGTGTGATGACAATGGGGGAGGTGGATATCATGGCCAGGGCCATGATATTTCAGGCCATGACCATGGCCATGGCCATGATATTTCAGGTCCATGGGGGAGGTGATATCATGGCCATGGCCAGGGCCATGATCTCTCCCTGGGCTTCGTGACCCCTCATCTGATTTCAGCACTTCCCCTGGAAACCTCCTGGACCGCGCACGTGCCTCGGGCCATGATTTGCGACTTCCCCCTCCTGGACGCCTCCCTCTTGGGCCTTGCATGAGGGGTTTCTTTCCCTGGTCACGTGTCCGTACAAGGCGTTGCCTTGGTTCCGTGGGTCTTGGTTCCTTGGCTCCTTGGTCTTGGTTCCTCGGTTCCATGGTCTCGGTTCCTCGGCTCTTTGGTCTTTGCTCTTTGGTTCCTTAGTGCTGGTTCCTCTGTTTCTTGGTCTTGGTTCCTTGTTTTTTTTTGTCTTGGTTCCCTGTTCCCTTGGCCAGGATTTCCTTGGTCCTGATTCCTTGGTTCCTTGGTCTGCCAAGCAATGCAGTGCACTGCCCAGTAATGCCAAGCTAAGCAATGCCGAGCAATGCCACGCAACGCGCCCATGCAATAGGAAGCTGTCCCCTGACTGGGGTCGGGACAGGTTCACTGCGCCACTGTGGAAACCTCTGGGGCCCTCGGGGCCTCGCGAGGGGTGCTCCGGAGACCACCTGGGCTCCGAAATCTTGGGGGCACCGTGGGCCAGGATTACCCAGGGGCTGTCCCTCTACAGGAGGAGTATTCAAAAATAGTTGTTTACCATTTTGGAGTATTTTTTGACTGTTTTCGATTTTTCGGCCAAGATCCCCCTGTAGGAGGACAGGCCCGACTTAAGGCCAGGGACACCTTCGGCAACGCCCGACTGGTGGCGCCCCTCGCCCCCCCCTCCCACCCCCCGAGGGAGGGGGGTGGGAAGCAGCCCCGAGCTTCGATACTCGAACCTCCTCCTCATCCCGTTCCCGTCCCCGCTGTCTCTGCGAATGCTGACCTCCGCACTCGCGCGGCTCCAATCGAGAGCCCCAGGTGGCGCCGCAGCTCCAGTCGAGCTCGATCCCCGATCCTCGCTTGCATTTGGCTTGTCCACGTGCGGACGTGCAGGCCGAGGGCGCTGAGCTATTGGCGGTCGACCGCAGGATCAGATGGATGGTTCTAGCCTTTCCCAGTCAGCCGGGAGGAGCCCGCGACGCTTGGATGGTCGAGGTTGCAATGCTGCGACGGCGAAAGATTCCTTCCTCCCCCCCCCTCCCTCTTCCTCCTCCAGCCAGCTTGTGGGCGTGGGGGGGGTGGGGCGGGTGGGACGGGTGATGGCTCAGGGTGAATCGCTGGCCCCCCAGGGGTATCCACCAGGTGTGCGCGCCCAAACGGTGGTCGCCCTGGAGGGGCAGTGCGAGCGGCGCTCGAGAGGATGTGTGGGCCTAGAAACGGTTCCGTGAGAGTAGACTGTCGCAGAAGCGACGCTCAGAAGTCTAGAGTAGCGGCTTTTTCGGGACACTCGGACTTCCAGGAGCGGGCTGGACTGGACTGGACTCCTCCTCCTCATCCCCTTATGAATAACTCCGCCCCGTCGCACCCCGAGGCCAGTCGGAAGGGCGGGCTGGCCGTTTCGCCGGAGATTTCCTTACCTTTTATGCTCCTCAAGTTTACAAGCCGGCAACACGTTTCAGAGATGGAGGGCGGGCCGTTTCCAGAATGTGGTTCTCGCAGTAGCGCCGCGCACACTCGTCTTGAAACATTGCAAATACAAGAGGTTCACGGATTGAGAACGGATGGTTTTCAACATGTGGCTTCCGCCTTAGCGCTGCGCGCATTCTTTTTAATATTTTGCGAGGATTTCACGGATTGAGGGCGCGCCGCGCATACTCGTCTTTTCAAAAGTGTAAAGAGCTTCGCGGATTGAGGGCGGCTCGTTTTCACAATATGGCTCTCCCCATCGCGCCGCGCACATTCGGTGTCACAGTTTGCAAGAGCTTCACGGATTGAGGACGGTTCCTCTTCAAAGTGTGGCTCTCGCCTCAGCACCACGCGCATTCGTTTGAACATGTTGCAAGAATGACAATTGTTATCATGGTTAACGTACCATAAATGGTGTTCGGGAACGATTCAGGATTGTCGGTGTGCATGAACTATTTTGATTCGTGGCTTTGAAGTCTCAGGAATAATGTTTTGGCGCATTCCAGCATCGTCAAGGCGCAACAGTCAAGTTGACTCGTGACGTTGAAGTCCTGAGCACGGTGTTTTGGCACGCTTCGGGATTTGTACACGGCTATCCCCCCATGAGGCACTTCGTTCTGTGCAACTGAATCTTTGTAGGGGCTTATGAAGAGGGAGCTTGGAGGGAGGGTGTGTTCAGACATCGTTGCTGAGTCTTGAACGTGTCCTCCTCCCCCCCCTCTTTTTCCTCCTCCTCCTCCTCCTCCTTCTCCTCCTGATCATCATCCTGGTTATCTGCCACCTCCTCCTCCAATGTACGCATCTCCCTTCTGTCATTGCGAATTACAAAATGGGGTCCTTTGATGGTTCCAAGGCCGCTATTACACCCGTCGGCGGATAGCGAAAACATCAGCGCAAAGGGATGGTTGGGAGGGGTCGTCTGACAGATATGACGAGAGCGCTCCAAGGTGGCCTTACCCCTCACCTCCCCCCGCTTGGTCTTCGAACATCGGCCCGCGGGCCGGCGCCATCGGTCGTTTTGCCTGCCCTGACGACGGCGACGATGCCGGCGGCGGCGGCCGTAGCTTCCGCAGCGGCCGCGGCGGCGCCGAGCGACATCCTGCGGAGGCCTCCAGAGGCCCCTGGGAGGCCGCTGGAGGCGTCCAGGCGCCCCCTCTTGTGGGGGAGGAGGGCGAACGCATGGCCTTGGCCGCGCTCGGGCGCCCTGCGCGCCTCGCACGGCCCGCGCCCCTCCGACCCCCGGCCGACGGCCGGCCCGCAGCGGGCGCGGCAGGCACGCGCGCAGCGACGTGCGCCACGCAGACGTGCGGGAGGGGCGCCTGCCCCGCAGGCATCGTGCAGGCGGCGCGGTGCCCGCCCCCCGCCACGGGCCCGGCGACGAGGGGCAGAACGGGGGGGAGGGCGCCCGCGTGGCGGGCCCGACGGTGCGAGACCAGCCCCCAACCACGCCAAGCCGCACGGGGGGAGAGGAGGGGGCAGGGCGGAGAGAGGGGGGAGGCCGAGAGGGAGCAAGAACGGGGGGAAGAAGAAGGGGCGGCTCGGCAGGACCAGGGGGCCCCGCAGCGAGGCCGGGGCGGGGCACCTGGAAGGGCCGATCCCCCTCGGCCTGCCCTGGTCCCCGAAGGGAAAGCCGTGGCACACGCAATCACCGGGCGCCCCGCACCCCCGCACCCCACACCGCCCCCCTGCCGGAGGCATGGCTTTAGTTGAACCCCGCGGGCCTCCAGCGCCCCGGCTGCGCCGACCACCCCGCCAGCTCGACCTGCGGGGGGTGCCCTGGCAATGCCCGGGTCCGGACGGGGCCGCCCTCCACTGGGGGGGGGTCTTTCTCCATCTCTCTCTCTCTCTCTCTCTCTCTCTCTCTCTCTACGGGCTACACCTGGGCCTTCCTCCGCCACGAGTGCGCAGGTGGGGAGTGCCACTCCCGAATCGCCTCTCCCCCTTTACTTACCAGTCGTAGTGTTTGCCTGGCGGCGCCAGGAGGGCAGCTTTTCATTACCCCCGTTTCTACGAGCGGCTCCTCCCGCCGAAGAGGTGCGGGCAGGGGCGCGTGCAGACCCGCCCGTGGACCAGACCTGGTCAGAAGTGTTGCGCGCGCGCTCTCTCTCTCTCTCTCTCTCTCTATATATATATATGTATATCGCTCTGCCCCTCCTGCTCCTCATCCGCCCCCCCCCCGCTCCCGCAACTCCGCTGCCTGCCCTCCCCCGCCGCCCCTGCCTCCGCGCGGCCCCGGGGCGCGGGCCCGCTCGCAGGAGAATATGGAGCGCTCCCGTGGGGGGGGGGGGGAGGGCCAGAGGCGACGACGGCATCCTGCTGCGGGCATGCCGTCGCAAGCGTCCCGTTGCGAGCCTGCGGTCGCAGACATCCCGTTGCGAGCATGCCGACGCAGGCATCTGGCTGAGGAGCGCCCCGTCGGGATCGCGGGACGTCCCTTGCACCCGACAGCTGGCGCCAACCTCCGGACGATTGGGCCGAGGGTTGCGTCATGCTTTCTGGTGCAAGGGACCTCTCGCTCCCCCGCCGGAGCGCTCCTCGGCCAGATGTCTGAGGCGGCATGCTTGCAGCGGGATGGCGGCAGTGAGCTCATTGAAGGTGCAAGTGCCGCAAAGGGTTCCCCTCCGCCTTCTGTCTCCTTGCCCCGCCTCCCATTTAGAGGCGACGGTAGGGGCGAATGGCCCAGGGGGAGCAGTACATGTATTCAGGTGCGCCGGTGATCTATGTCTTCGCGAAGGCTCCCAGGCGAATGCGTGTAATGCCCGCCCCCGGGCTATTCGCCCCTACCGTCGCCGCCGACCCATCCCCTTGCCCACCCTGGCAGAAGCCGACGGAGTAGAAGGAGGAGGCGACGGCAAAGGAGGGGTGCGAGGGAGGGAATGAGGAGGGGCCGGCGGAGGAGGAGGGGAGGGCGAGGAGGGGAGGGGGAGAAGGGAGGGAGGCAGCGGGGAGGAGGGTTACCCCTCGTAGTCGGCGCGCTCCTCGTTTGAGCGGTACCCCTGCTGCGGGTTTGGGGTCGTCCCGTGGTCCGTCCTGGGCCTCCCCTGCTCCTCTCCTGCCTGCCCTCCCTCCCCCGAGGATCGGGGTCAGGGGAGCGACGGCCGCAGCTTCGTGGCCGGCGGGCCGCGCGGGAAGATGCGCGCGCCCCGACGCGCGCTCTCCCCGTCGTTTCCTCGCCGTGTCGTCCGTGCCCTGAGGTCTCGTGGGCACGGCTGGGCTCGGGGTCGATCTGATGGAACCGGGCCGCTTGGAACGTCGAGCCGTGGCCACAGCAGGCCAGGGTTGGTTTTGACCCGAAGGCCACAGTAAGCCAGGGACAGAAAGAGCGAGAGGGAGAGAGAGAGAGAGAGAGAGAGAGAGAGAGAGAAAGAGAGACAGGGAAACAATACATAGAGAGAGAGAAGAGACAGAGAGAGATAGAGAGGGAGGGAGGACAGGGGAAGAGAGCCGGCCGGATGCAGCGTGAGGGGCAGAAGGAGGAGAAGAATAGAGCAATCAGATGAAGGAAGTCATAACTGTACTCGGCATGAACATACATCGTTCGGAGGCCCGCGCGAATTTCTTGGGACGGCGCTGTCCCCCCTCCCATCCCTTGCGGCGCTTCCGGCGCCGCCCCTGGCGTGCTCCGCGCGCCAGGGAGGGGTCCCAGCCCAGCGCCGACCCAAGAAATCCACTCAGACCTCGGAACGCTTATGTAGATGCGCGCGTTATTACTTTTCGTTTTCTTCTTCTTTTTCTCGAGAAGGAGGGGGGGAGGGAGTAGGATGAGGGAGAGGAAGGGAAACTCGTAGGAAGGGGGATCGGCTGATGGGTGTGACGAATTCTCTCCTCAAGGAGGACGTGTTCATTGCGTCGTGCCTGACCAAGCTGGGGGTCTACGAGCACATGCAGGACGCGGCCCCGGGAAGGGCGTACATGAGTACGTGTGCACATTTGCTCATCCGTACCCTTGCGACCGTACTTGTGCAGGTACATTCATGTATGCATGCATGAGTATACGCGTGCATGCGCGAATGCAGGCGTGCACAGCGCGAGCCAATCTTCATTTACAGTCAGAGTTGCAGGAGCGGGTGTGTGACCAAGCTAGGCTTTGCAATCCTGGTGGCCAATGTGTACCCTTCCCTGGTTCCCAAGTCGCCCTTCTCCGTGCAGTTCTTTGAATCGCCCTCCCACTATACTGCGAGGCAGTCAGGGACCAAACCCTCAACAAATACAAACAAATACACTGGTCAGGGCCCCGAGATTTCCCGCTTCTTTCCTCACCCATTAGCCTGACAGCGCCCCCGCGCCAGCATAGCGCTCGTTTCGACTGCAACCCGCGGGCCCGCAGGAGAATGTGCTCGCGGAGGGGGAGTGCATGCGCGGAGATTTCAACGCGAACCCGACCTGGTACTTCTGCAACAGCAGCCACGCTTCGTTCCACCCCCTCAAGACCGAGGAGCTCCTCCTTCTCCTCTATGTTCCCCCCTCCTCCTCCTCCTCCTCCTCCTCCTCCTCCTCCTCCTCCTCCTCCTCCTCCTCCTCCTCCTCGTCCTCCTCCTCCTCCTCCTCCTCCTCCTCCTCCTCCTCCCCTTCCTCCTCTTCATGACTCGAGGAGCAGTACAGGGACTGCTTGAGCAACGCGAGGTCGTCGACATTCAAGCTTCCTGAGCCTGCCGCAGAATAGCATGTTTGACCCTGTGCAGCCACAGGGGGGGGCTGAGAATTCCTCCGTTTCATCATCCTTCCTCGGCATCCTCGCCCTTCCCTTCCCGCAAGCCGGCGGCAAACGGCACAACATAAAATGCTCCGCCATCGGGGACGCTTGTCCCAGGGCGGCTGGGAAGTTGTTATCCCTGCGGTGGCGTGTCGGGGTATACAGTTGCCAGCCGCCCTGGGGCAGGCGTCCCCAGCGGCGGAACATATTAATTTCTACCGTTTGCTATGTGTCCCCTCTCCCACCACGTTCCCCGCATTCCGCTCCACCTCCCCATCCTCGTCTTTCTCCTCCTCCGCCCTTACCTCCCTCCCGCTGGAGACTGCCTGATCGCGTTGGAGCTGAGATACGCGTCGCTGATAGCACGCGGCAGCCAACCCCGCAAGTTGTCGGGCTCGAGGGGCTTCTGTTTCCCACCAGGATCTCGCGCCCCTCTCCGTATTTCTATTGTTCCTTGTTCGTCTCTGCCCCCCCCCCTCTCTCTGCCTACTCCCCATGTTCACTCTTGGTGAATGCGCAAGGGGATGGGCTTGTCGTCCTCCTATGTTTTGTGTCTCTTCTACTTTCTTCTTTCTTTGTTTTCCAAGTCGCACTCTGTCTCTTTCTCCGCCCTCATCCTCCTCCCCCCTCCGCGTCCGTCTCCGATGCTCGCTCGTGGGTAACTGGGACGTGGGAGAACCTCCTACTTATCCTTCTTCTCCTGCTCCTACTTCCCCTTCTCCTCCTCCTCCTGTGGTGGTGAGAGGAGCGAGGAGGCTCGAACCAGTGGTCTGCAACACGTAAGCCCCCAGGAGCCATCTGTAATTCGTTCTGCAGATAGCACTGGCCAGACCTCAAGTCCGACTCGTGGGTCAAGTACAACGGTTGGGGGATGGGGAGGAGAGGGAGGCGGAGGCGGGAGGCGTTGAGGAGGGCGAGGTGGAGGGTAATATTGAGGAGGAGGCGGTGGAGGAGAAGTCTAAGCTCCATGTGGCCATATTGCTGACCGCGCAAAGCTGAAATCGAGGAGCAGGAGGGGGATAGAGAAGGGGGGCCACAGCGGCGAAGACTCCAGGGGCAAGACAAAGAGCTTCGCCTTTTCCTACCTCGACTGCTTCTTCTACTCGCCATCCCCTCTACTCCGTGGCCTTCATCGCTTTTCCACCCGCTCTGGTGCGCCCAGTGTCCGGCGCGGCCCGTCGGTTCTGCAGTTGCGCTCGCGCCCGCCAGCGCCACGACCAAAACACTGTTTCTTCTACTCATCCTTCGCGTTCGTTTTTTCCTTTCTCCCTCCATTCCCTTCTTCATCGTTCTCCATCCCTCTTCCCTCACGTCCTCTTTCCCCCATCCCCATCCCTCCCTCCCCCCTGCTCCGTGCTGCGCGGGCAGCGAGGATGGGTTCAAGGACAAGGAGGGATATCGCGGCCAAGGGCCAGGACATCTCTTCGATCTCATGCGGAGCTCGAGCGCAACGGTGTGTTGGCGATGTCGTGGGCCGTTGTCGTTTTGATGCAGTTTTGCAGCAGAGGTGGAGCGAAGGCAGAACGATCAGGCGATCGCTAACATGGGTCAATGGGGCGTGGATTAGCGACGGGTTCCATGTCCATGGGGAACCTCGGATTTCCACCGCCGAGCGAGGTGGCACGGGCCGCATTTTGAGGACGGCACCTCCCCCGATCGATGGATTTGGCAACCGCGCGCCAAATCCATGGATCGCTAATCGCTAATCCATGTTTGCGCGCCCCCGAAAAGAGGGGAAGCGAAAGCAAACGGGTACTGAGACACGGCTTGGCTCGAGCCCTGATCTCATGGCCCTTCAGTGCTTCTCTCAGGACGTCCCCTGGCCCCTGCTCGTCCTAGCGCGCGCCTCGGGCCGCGGTGCGCTGACCACCTGTAAGTCGGGCGCGTCCCTCTACAGGAGGAACATATAAAAATAGGCAATCATTAGTCTGGGGGGCGCTTTTTTGTTTGTTTCATCTTGGTATTTGGTATCCTTGTCGAGCTACAACTATTTGTAATGTTTCCTCCCAAACCAGCATGTAGGAGCGCACGCCCGGCCTAAACCTACCTCTTCCTGACCCCCCCTTTTCGGCGCACACGATGAGTGCTGGGAATCTGGGAACTCGGCCGCCCACCCGAGGCGGAGCATGTCCTCAAATCCTCACCGCCTTCGCTGGGTCCCCTTCGGTGCAAGCGCTGATGGGTTTGTCGGGATGTTTGTGGGTGCGTTCCGACCTTGTGGGTTCCCGTGCGGTGCGAGTCGCGCCAGGATTGCCGATGTCATTGCGCATTGGACCCCAGACATGCTCCGCGCAGCAACGCTTCTGTCATCGGCGGCGCAGTAGATACCACGTCTGATCAACATCCTAGTGGTGAGGTCAAAGTTATGTTTAGTCGATTGCGCCGTCACCGTTGGACCGTGCATGTGCCTACATCGCAAGCGTTCCCCCATCAGATGGAAGGGGGATGAGATGGCCGGGGAAGACCAGGGAGGAAGGAGGGATTGCTCGGAACCCGGGAGGGAAGGAAAGAGATGGGCGAGGCTAAACACTCTCGCATATTCCTCTTCCTATATTTTTATAAGCCCGGGCGGGGGGAAAACCCGTCCCCCCCCCCCCCCCCAAAGCCGGACTCCTGGGGCTTTGGGGCCCTTCCGAACGGGCCTCGAAGCGGCCACCGGGCCTCGCAAGGCGTTTTGCCAAGCTTTCCCAGCACACTTGGGGCGATCAGGGCGGTCATCGGAGACGTCCCAAAGACCCCCAAGACAGCACAAGAGCGCTCCAAGAGTGGCCGACGTGACCTCAAGATGGCCTCAGAGGCCTCCAGGACGGTCCCAAAGAGGCCTCCAAGAGCACTCCCAAGAAGGCCCCCCTAGGCAAAAATCATTATTTTCTGTTGTTTTTTGGTGAATTTGGGGTTCTCCTCTTTTCGGCTTCCCGACGCTCCAAGACGGCGGTCTTCTGGGCGTCCGAAGCCGCCTGGGAGGCTCCCAAATCGCCCCACAACCATCCGAAAGGGCTTCCAGGCAGTCCAAGAGAACCCCAAAACGGCACAACACGGGTCCAAGATGGCGCTCAGAGAGCCCCATGGCGGCCCAAGATGGCCCAAAGACACCCTCCGAAGAATTCCAAATCGTGATTCGGTCGTTCAGGGAGACGGCGGTTGGAGGCAGGGTAGCCCGAGGAAGCCCCCGGAGGCCCCCAGAATACGCCCAGGAGGCCTTCAGAAGGCCTTCAGAAAGCCCGAAACAACTTTTGTGAGGCCCTTAGAGGCTCTCCAAGGAGGAGCCTCCGCAAAAAGAGCTGAGGAGGATGGGGAGAATGCGCAGGGTATAGCGAAAATGAGGAACAATAAGCATGGAGGAAGGCTAACGAATAACATGTTTATAGCGGCGATGCCGGAAAAGGCAAACAGGAGTTATCGCTAAATTGTCGGCTTGACCTTCTTGCCATTCCGCCTGCATACCAAACTTCAAGGACCAAGGCGCATGGCGCGAAGCGCCACTGCAGTCTTGTATATATATATATACACATATACATGTGTAAGTCATGTGGTCTTGCTATCGCGTCGAACGCGTACCATTCATTGTTGTCAGTGGGCGTAGCTCGCATCTGGCTTGGTAGAAGTAGCTGGCTGCTCGACCGACCGACAGGCCATTTTTTAAAGCGGCCGAGGTCGCAATCCATGTCGCAACTCATGGCGCAATCTCGTGCTCAACCTAATTATGGCGCAACCTATGGCGCACTTGTGCGGGTGGGGCTCAACGTATTTAGTCGTCCTGGCGATTTCTGCTCCCCATCCCCCGATCTATGCTCGCCGTGTTGGGTTTCTATGCTCTCCGATTTGGGGTGCTCGAGTGAGGGCGTGCTGTCGTGTGGTTGCATGATGTAGTTGTTGTGTGTTCTCCGGCTGCACGCCAGCATATGTTGCAGGCGTTTGAGTGTTCTTATTGTGATTGTTGTGGTATTGTGTGGCGTGTTGATTTACTGTCATCAAGTGCCGTACATGAGCATGGAACGCTATCATCATCCACAGCCGCATATGGATATGTGTTCGCCTCGAGATATGACAGGTGGTCTCATACAGTCCTTCAGTTCTGGTCATTCGAGGGTGGCACATGTGCCGTGCGTAGACAGCCGAGTTTGGTTAGCAGGTCGACCCTGTCAAATCAAGGATACCCTTGTGTCCTGTGCTCCGCACTCCGCGCCCTTCTTGCATTCCTGAGGCAGCGTGGCCATCGGAAAGGCGTTGTGCCATCTCGTGTGTCCTCTCCGATCAACCTCGGTTGCGATCTAACAACAGCACGTGCTTACATGCTCACCCGGATGTTTATAGCAGGTTCATTGGATGGCATTGCCCATACGTGTTGGGTGCTGTGGTCGTCTAACATGTTGCCCCCTGGCGTCGGTCGTGCTTCTGATGTTCCTGTAGCTCTTTGCTCATTGGCCACACGGCTGTTGCTAGCTGTTACCAGCTTGCGTATACGGACATAGCTCGCCTGCGCGCCAATGTGTGTTTTTATCAAGTGCACGTAGTCGTAGGTTGGTCGATGTTGTCCCATCGCATCATCCGCTTTTAGGGGCCTGGCGCCAGGGCTTAATGTGGTTCTTGGCGCCATTTTGGCCTAGTGTTGCATGGAGTCCTTGGCCAGGCTAGACCTTCACTCGAGGGAAAGCTGACAATGCAGGACACTGTCAAGGTATTCCTCTCCTCCTTTTTTATTCGGCATATCCTGCATCCTCCTCCTATTTCATGATTCTCCTTCCTACTAATCTGCAACCCTGAACTCGAAGAAGCAAATACGACATGCACATAGACTTTCGGAGGTCCGCGCGGACTCCTTGGGTCGGCGCTGGACCTACCTCCCTGGCGCGCGGAGAGCACCAGGGGCGGCGCCAGGGGGCTCCAGTGACGATACAAGGAATTCGCGCGGACCTCCGAGAGTTTATGTTTACATTGTTTTGGCCGCGTTTCAGGATCGTGTCAGTTCACCCTTCGCCTCCGCACTACGGCCCTTACCCGGCACGCCAAGAGCCATCAAGGGTCGGGGGCTGCTGACGGTGCCGCTGGGCCAAGGTGCCCCCGGCTCTTCGCTCAGTCTTGGAGCCCCCGGGGCCCTCTGGGCCTCGTGACGGGTGCTCTGCAGGCAGTGGGGGCCTCCATGGCAGTCCTGGTATCGGGAGCGGAAAAGAGGGGGGTGATGACTAGGGGGGGGGGGATTTCATGGCGCGGGCCATGGCTTTTCCTCGGATTTCATGGCGCCTCTTCTTATTTCATTACGTCCCAGGCCCCCCCCGCTGGGCCGCGCACATGCCGCCGGTCATGATTCGCCCCCCCCCCTCTTGGACACCCCCCTCTTTGCCGCCCCCGATGGTAGCGCCTTGGGCCGGGGGCACTTCCAGCAGCACCCGGCAGGGAGGTGCGGCGGTGCCCACGCCTGGGCTCCTGGCAGACTCGGCGATCTCTCGTGCAGCACCTCCGGCCACGCCGACCTCTCGAGGGGCGCGGCCGCGCTCGGGCTGCGGCCCTCTGGGGCCTCCGGGGAGCTCCGCGGCCGAGCGCGCTCTCTGCCCCGTCTCCTTGGCCCAAGGCGCGGTCCCTGGTTCCAGGGAGGCTCCGTGGCCTTTCGCGCAGTATCTCGGAGCAGCCCTCACGCCAGGTGTTGCAGTATCGGCGGCCGGCAGGAGCTCCACCTTGCCAAGTCGAGCATCGAATTTCCTCTTTTGGGTTCTCAAGACGTTGTTGCGGCCACAGTTCCTCTGGGCCGGCGCCGGGTCGTCTTCACTCAAGGGCTTTGTTGGTAAAGGAGGCTCTGTCCACCCCGACATAACGTTTCCCTGCCTACGTGAACAGTTCACGTCACAAAAGCTTCTCCAGCGTGGTCTCAGCCCTACGACGACACTACGACGGGTGTCGAGGTCATACGCCTTCGGGAGTTCTGATCATATCATATCTGTGCTGCCAGGTGTCCCATGACCAGATGCTTGTGCCGCGGACCCTCAGGCTACAATGCAAAGCTTTTAGTAAGCCCACCCTGTTTTGCCTTAGATTGCCATCAATTCTACGATTCTCCGTTCCCCGTCCATGGCCACGGCACGCTTGTTGAGCGCCCGCCTCACAAAAGACGCACTGTACTTGCAGATGTGTGTGAAGGGTCCATGGTGCACTCCAGGCCTCTCAGGACTTCTCTGGCCCCTCTGGGCTTTTGGGGCCCTGCTTGAAGGGCTGCAGGGTTGGTGGGTTAGAGAGTTGCGGCCTCTTGGGCCGTCTTGGGGTGTTTTTGGGGGCCCCTTAGGACGTGTTGGAGCCTCGGGGGTTCAAAAAGGCGAGAGAATCCCCCAAACCTTCAAAACCGAATGGGAATCAATGAATTTGGCTTCTTGGGGCTTCCCGGGGGGGCCTCTCGAGGCGGGAGGTTCGAATTTTCGGTTCGTGCACCCCCTCTTGGGCCCTTCTCGGGGCCGTCTTGGAGCCCCCTTGCGGCGGGAGGAGGAGGAAGAGGAGGCGGAGGAGGAGGAGGACGAGGAGGAGGACGGCGATGAATAGGGTATAGGGCATGGGGACGAAGAAGAGACGACGCCGACGACGACGACGATGGTGATGATGACGACGACGACGACGACGACGACGACGACGACGACGACGACGACGACGACAGAGGGGCCTTGGATGTTCGTTGGGAGCTCGTGAGGGTCCGCTCGGGGGTCTCTTGGAGCAGTTTTGCGGCCTCTGGGAGTCCGTCTTGTTGTCTCTTGGGGCCTCGGTTGGGCCTCTTGGTGGCCTTTTGGGGCCTCTTGGGCGTTCCTTGGGGCCTCTCGGAGGCCTCTTGGGTGCCTCCTGGGGCCCTTTCGGGGCGGAAAGTTGAAATTGTCGTTTCGTGGCCCCCCTCTTGGGCTGCTCATGGGGCTTTCTTGGGGCCTCTTGGGCCGTCTTGCTTGCCTCAGGGGCCGTCTTGGTGCTCTCTTGGGCCGTCTTGGCGCCCTCTTGGGGGCTTCTTGGGCCGTCTTGGGGCGGTCTTGGAGGCCACTTGGGCCGTCTTGGAGCGTCGGAAAGCCGAAAGGCGAGAAGGCCAACAACATTCAAACACCTAAGGGAGATCAATGAATATTGCCTCTCCCGGCCCTCTTGTGAGGTCCCTTGGAGGCCTCTTGGTGCGTCTTGGACGCTTCTTGGGCCAGCTAGAGGCCATCTTCGGCGTCTTGGGACGATCATTGGGCGTCTCGGGGCCCTCCTGTACCGAGAGGGGGGCCTCTTAGGAGACCTCTTGGTCCTTCCTGGGACAATCCTTGGCCCACAAAAGCCATGCGAGAAGATGCCCCAGAGCCGAGGGGAACTGCGCCAAGCCCAAAAGGATTTGAGAGCTTGGCATCCGGGATCCTCAGAAGCTCCTCAGGAGTGAGGACTGAGGCTTAAGGGATAAGGCAAAGGACCTGAGGACACGCCCACTCCCTGCCCTGCGGCACGGCATCGTGTGTGTATATATGTATATATAAAACATATATATATATATGTATCTGTATATGTCTAGGTGCTTATGTGTATACGTAAACGTAGATGCAGATCCATACATGTCGTATATATGTATGTCCATATATGTGTGTGATACACATGGGAGGGTAGGAGAGAGAGAGAGAGAGAGACAGGGTGACAGAGAGAGAGAGAGAGAGAACTGAACAAGCAACAACAAAGAGAGAGAGAGAGAGAGAACACACCAAAGGGAATGGGGGGCACGCCTGAGCAGTGCATGGCAGCAGCACTGGCAGCACAGGCAGCAACACCCTTCCCAGACAAAATTGCCGTGGCGTGCTCCTGCCGAGGTGGGCCTTCTCTCGCCAGCGCGCCCAGAGGGGAAGGTAGAAGGGATGGGCCTCCTCAGGAGGCTCACCAGGCATCCGCCCTACTGAGAAGCTGTCTGAGTTTTCTCCAAAGCCACAGGAAAGGCTCCTCAGAAGACTGATGGGCTTTTGAGAAGTTCCGCCGCTTTCCGAGAAGGCCTGCCCCTTCTCACTTCCCCCCGGGCGCGCCGCCCTTCCATACACGGGTTGCACCCCAGCCCCTGTTCCCTTGGTGGCGGCGCCATCGCCTCACCCTGCCTGGCGACACACCGCCGCTGGGCTTGCTAACGCCGCTTTGTCCCTGGCTACCCGTGCGCTGCCCAGCACTGGGCTTACCGGGCGGCTTGCCAGAGAAAAGCAGCGCGCCGTTGCAGCCTTTCTCGTCGGTCAGGGGCAACGCTATGGGGGGGTATAGGCTCAGAGGGGAGCGCACTTGGCCCGAAATCGGCCTCAAGAGGTTTCTCGAGGCGCCAGATGTTTGGGACTGCGCAAATCGATCCGCCCGAAGTGCAGTCCTGCCCGCCGCCGACTGGCTGGCTGGCCGACATGGGCCCGAGCCGAGGCCCCTGACCCAGACCAACGGGGAACACAAACTTGAGAGGGTCGCACCCTGCCGTCGGTTTGGGCCCAACACGGTTCGGCGTAACACGCTACCCGTTTCCCCGTTCCGAGGCGTCAGCGTCAGAGCTTTTTCCCAGTCCCCCAGGATGAGGACGAGGAGGAGCACGAGGAGGAGGAGGAGGAGCAGGAGGAGGAGCAGGAGGAGGAGAAAGAAACGGCACCGCATGATTTTCGCCGACGCGCCACAGCTGAAGCCGGGGCGGTGGGCGCCTGCCGACCCCCACTGACGCCCACTCGTCGCCGCCAGCGGCCCGACAGCCGCTTCGCCCAGGAGCGCGCGGCGTTCTCTCCCTCGGGGGGCCCGTCGCGACGGGCCACGCGTCGCCTCCTCCGGCGCGGCGTTTCCCCGCCGAGGCGGTCCCACCCCGGGGGGGGAGGCGAGAAGGAGAAGGCCCTCCGAGACGGAGAAGGCCCTCCGAGCACTGTCTTGTTCTTCGGACATTTGTTGGGTTCGAAGAGCACTTCGTGGTAGGCCCATAGGGGTGCCGGGACGGCCGGTCCCTGCTCAAGAGAAGGAGAAGGCCTTCCGAGAAGGCGGCGGGGCTTCTCAGAAGGCCTCCGGCCTTCTGGGAGGTGTTTGTGCCTTCGGGGACGGCGCAGAAAGCCTCTCCGAAGGCCGGGGGGCTTCCGAAGCTTCCGAGGCGGCCCGCCCCCTCTCGCTCGGGGGGCTCGCCGCCGACCCTCGGTCGTGGGTCGTTCGTCGCAGGCTGGGGTCCTGCCCCGCCGGGCGTCCGCAGGGAGGCGTGCGCCCCAAGGTGTGGTTCACCGGGGCGGGTCCACTCGGAATCCAGGCTTTTCGGGCCGGGCGAAAGGGGGGGCATTGGGAAAGGGGGGGTTACGAAATCTGCTGCATGCAGCTGGTTTCGGCCTCACCGAGGGGCCCGTTCCTCGATACATAGCCGCCTCCGGCGCCGGGAGGCACCGGGAAAATCAGCTACGTGAGCTGATTCTCAAACCCCCCCTTTGCTATCCCCCCCTTTCGCCCGACCCGAGCTTTCCATGTGTCCAGGGGCCGCGCAGAGCGCCTTTCTGCAGGGCTGGCTCGGACCATCATGGCTATGGTCATGCTGTGGAGATGGGGCCCGCGGTGGTGTTGGGCGAGGCCCACGTGGGCGTTGTTATTGTTCCTCCCCAGGTGAACGCTCGTGAACCAGCCCCCCCCCCTGGTAACGCTAACGACCGCGGGGTGTGTGGCCTGAACCCCCCTCCATATATGCTATGGTGCGCACAGGCGATTGACGCGCCAGTGGCGCGGACGCACCCTGGCGGGTGCACGCCGCGGCCGCCGTTACCGTTGCCCTCTCGCCCGAGACCCCCCCCCAGTGGCGGCCGTTACCCGGGAAAGAATTAAAAACGGTCACCACGTTTGGCCCTGTCCACCGCTCCAGACGCACGATCTCGGGACGGACCAGCGGGGGTGATTGGGAACGGGAGGGTCACGAAATCTGGTGCGCGCAAGCCAGATTCGTTCCCTCGGTTGGGCACCGCAATTCGATACATGGCTGCCTCTGGCGCAGGGAGGTGCCAGGAATACCCCCTCCTTACTATTCCCTTTTCGTCCGACTCGACCATATTGCTGCCAGTGCCGATGGCGTTGCCGTCGCCCCACTGGCTACGATCAACGCCTTCACTATCGACGCTTGTGTTTTTGGTCTTTGTGATGCCGACTCTCTCACTCTTTCCTGCCGTCCACGACTTGGATTTGGCGCCGACTTCTCCGAGGCGGGGACAAGAATGAGCAGACATGGCCTCGTCGCCTGCTGCGGGTACTGAACGTCGCACCTATCTCGCTGCAGCTCCCCTTTTTCCACAGCCTCTTCCTCCTAGTCCTGTCCCTGAGAGCTGCTTCGAACGCTCAACGAGCGGAGCCGGCGCTGGTTCGCAGCGGAAGGTTAGGGCAGGTGGAGGACAAATAGGATGAGAGGGATGACGATGTTGCTGCTGATGCTGATGCTGATGATGATGCTGATGCTGATGCTGATGCTGATGGTGATGGTGATGATGCTGGTGATGCTGCTTTTGATGGGGATGATGATGATGATGGTGATGATGCCGCTGGTGATGATGATGATGATGATGATGATGATGATGATGATAATGATGATAATGATGATGATGATGATGATGATGATGATGATGATGATGATGATGATGATGATGATGCTGATGATGATGATGATGATGATGATGATGATGCTGCTGCTGATGATGATGATGATGATGATGCTGATGATGATGATGATGATGATGATGATGATGATGATCATGATGCTGACGATGGTGATGAGGATGGATGCTCTTGTGTGTACCAGGGAATATGGCGGGAAACGCTTGAGGGAGCTCGACGATTTCTTCCGTAGCTGTCTGGGCTCAAGTGAACTCAAAACGGCTGGGGCGGCGCGCCCCCCCCGCTTCCGCGTACGCGCGCACGCGGCGGGCCACACCGCCCAGTGGCGGCGGTTTGCTGCGCGCGCGGGGAGCGCGCGCCGCCTGGCTAGACCCCGAACTGCTGGGGTCCGCCTTTTGAGGCGTACACCGCCTACGTGCAAAGGGCGGAGCAGCCGCCCTCCCGCTCGCGGGGCGTCGCACGACCGCCCGCGGGGCGGGCATGATCAAGAAAGGACGCCCGCTTCCGTCTCTCCGCCTTCGGCAGGCGGGGCGCTCAAGCAGCCGGCGGCGGCCAGCGACGACGGCGGCGAGGTCAAACTCAAGAAGAAGCAGCGGAGCAGCGGGAAGAGCAGGCCTCAAAGAGACGTCCCCGCGCCCGTCGATGACGAGGGGCCGCTTCCCCGCCCTAAGCCGCTGGGCAAGGCTGCCGCCCAAGCCACAGCGAGGGCTGGCCCCAAGGCGAGGCGCCCTGAACCGTGGAAAACGGGCGACCAGGACGACTGGTACACTCCGCTCGTGGCCTTGCGGGATGATGAGGTGATCGAGTGCAGGGGTGCGTGCCGCGGGTCCCCCAAGCACTTAGCCATGTGTGCTAGTGGCGGGTCGTTCACCGTCAACGGGCGCAACGGTTGCTTCTTGAGAAGGGGTCGGGGGCAGCCGCGCTGGCTGCGCTGCTTCGGGGTCCTGGCGGAGATCGTGCACTTTTGTGAGGGTGCCGCGGGCGACTGCGCGGGGACGACTCCTGGAAAAAAGGTACGGAGCTGATCCACGTGGACTCGTACCGACTGCGCCTCGACTTCGACGCACCTCGCCCGCCACCTCAGCTTCCCATCGAAGGGCCCCCGACTCCAGCGGAGAGCGAACGTGGCGAGGACCCGAAGGGTGACCATGCAGGGGGAGCTGCTGTGTTCGGTGGCGATGACGATCACTTCGACGCCCCCGCGGATGGCGGTGCTGCAGCGTCGCGCAGGCCAGACCTAGAGAGGCGCCTCGCGCAGCTACGCGCGAAACTCAAGCCTGACGGCCCACAGAGTCAGAAGGGGGCCCGCGGCGCAGCCGCATCGGCGGGGGTCGGCGAGATCTTGGTAGAGCGAGTTGCGCAGCACAGAGTCAAGGTCGTGACCAACCCGCCTGAGGATGACCGTCGACCAAGGCCTGGGGTGGGTCTGAGTGCCGCCGTTGGCGGGGATCGGGACAGCGATGAAACAGGGGGCGATTTGTCGGGGTTTCGCCTGGCTCTCGCTCGGGCGGGCGAGGACATCTTGGGCAGCCTCTGCAGTTGGCGATCGGTGAGATCTAGCGCTATCAGAGCACCCGAGGGGGGGCCGTGGCAGCGGCCGCCCCCCCCCCCCCCCCGGGAAGCCCGATTCGCGACGCATCCCACGGCAGTGATTCACGCAGTCCATATCCCCGAGCAGTTGGGGGACTTAGGGCGGGAGATGAGGGCGCGCGCGGGGGTGCTCGACGCCGCGCCCCTCGGCGATCTCCCGCGGGTCGCAGACCTCTGCGCGCAGAGGTTCAAGAGCTGCGAGGCCGAGGCCAAGGGGGGCGCAGCGCGCTTGCGTCGCAGCGCGGGTTTGCCCCCAAGCGCGGGATCGGTCTCGCAGCCCCGCCAGATGTGACGCTCGTCGGCCGGCTAGAGATGCAGAGGGCCAAGCTCGCGGAGATCGAGGAAAATGCAGAGAAGGGCGAGAAGGCCCACAAGGGGGTCGGGGGCTTCGGGCGGGGCGGCCCGACAGACGAGCGCGGCAACGGAGCGGGCGGCGGCCCCGGGGGCAGTCCGCCAGCCCGAGCGGGTTCCGCGCCAATTGGGGCCGCAGCCCCTCGGGGTCCACCGACGACGGAGGAGCCGCGGCAGACGAGCGAGACGGCGTCGAGGGCCGGGGGGCGCAAGCGCCGGAAGCGCGCGCCAGCTATGAAGGCGAAGGCCCCGGCGACGCCGCGGGCGCAGGGGCCCGGCAGGGAAGGGCAAGGGCGCGTCGGAATCGGCGGCTTCACCCTTTGTGCCGCCCCCGCCGCCTCAGGCCCAGCCCAAGCAGCGCTGCTCGCGCCGAAGAGTCGGGCTCAGGCCGCGGCGGGCGCGGCGTCGGGCGACAGATCGGGCGCGCCTTGGCGCGGCGCGCAGCCGCGGCGACTTCCTCGGCGCCCGGCCCGGAAGGGCTTCCGGAAGAGCCGAGGCAGGCGGCGCGCGCGGCGGCCCCCGCCGTCATAGAGGTCAAGTTCGAGTCTAGCAAGAGTAGCAAGAGGATGCAAGGCGAGGCCCTGGGGGGGCTCCACAACCTGGGCGCGAACGTTGCCAAGATGGGCCTCCGGGCGCTGCGACCGCTG